ATTCATTTAATTTATCTTGATATATGTGAATTGTTGTATTTTAGTGTCTGAAATTATTTAACTTTTATGTTGCCATTTCTAAAACATCCTATATAATAAAACCCTAATAAGCAAATTGACCTACCCACAGAATGACCAGTCACTATGACACACACTGACCACTGGGGAGCAGGCAATGCAGAGAAGCAGCCAGCAGGTGACTATCAGGTAGTGGGGCTAGCCAGCGGGTGGTGCCAGGCTGCCAGCCAAGGCGATTGCCCTGCCCACCAGTTGCCCCACAGATGGCCCTGATCACTGGCCAGGCCTAGTGATCCTACTCTATATATTGGGAACAGTCTCTTAGATTTAAAAACTAAAATCTGGTAATGCTACTCTAACACTGAAAAAACAGGATGATACAGTGATGACATACATGCATGGACTCTGGCTTGCACATTTTGTGGTCAACCCTGATTCTGTGTGACAAAGCCAGTTACTTAACTCTTCTCTGCTTCAGTTTTCTACCCATAAGATGGGGAAAATGGTACTACTACCTCAGAAGGATCACGTTATGTAGTACTTTTTATAATCAGTGCAAGAAAATGTAGCTGCCCATACAACAGCAAGATGCCTTTCACCTCTATGAAAAGTATGATCAATCGTGCATGCAAAATCCCGGATTGCAAGTGGGATGTTTGACTGCTGGTTTAGGCCTGACATTCCCCGAGAGGTCCCAGATTGCGAGAGGACACAGGCCAGGCTGTGAGACATTCCCTCTTCTCCCTGTGCATGAGTTTCATGCACCAGGCCTTTAGTTGTTTTCATAAGCATTATCATCATCTATAGGTGTATGATTTTAGTCCAGCCTCTTCTGCACCCTCCACACCCCTTTCCCCCTGATAATTATCAATCCACTCCTTTTCTATGCCTCTGACTCTATTATATTCACCAGTTAATACTGTTCATCAGATTTTTTATTCCCTTGGTTTTTAGATTCACTTGATGAATACGTATTTGTTATTCATAATTTTAATCTCCTCCCCCCTCTCTCTCCTCCCCCTGCTCCTCATCTCCCTCCTCTCATTCCTCCCTCTCTTTCTCCTCCCCCTCTTTCATATAATTCTGGTTTGGTGGTAATGAACTCCTTTAGCTTTTTCTTGTCTGAGAAGATCTTTATCTGTCCTTCTATTCTGAATGATAGCTTTCCTGGGTAGAGTAATCTTGGTTGTAATTTCTTGCTGTTCATCACTTTGAATATTTCTCGCCATTCCCATCTGGCCTGCATAGTTTCTGTTGAAAAACCCATAATAGTCATATGGGTGCTCCCTTATAGGTAACCAATTGCTTTTCTCTTGCTGCTTGTAAGATTCTCTCTTTGTCTTTGTCCTTGGCATTTTAGTTATGATGTGTCTTAGTGTGGTCCTCTTTGTATTCCTTTTATTTAGGATTCTGTGCACTTCTTGGACTTGTAAATCTATTTCTTTCACCAGATGGGGGAAGTTTTCAGCCATATTTCTGCAAATAGGTTTTTAGTATCTTGCGCCCTTTCCTCCTTTCCCTCCTCCTCCTCCTCCTCCTCCTCCTCCTCTTCTTCTTCTTCTTCTTCTTCTTCCTCTTCTTCTTCTTCCTCTTCTTCTTCTTCTTCTTCCTTCTTCCTCTTCTTCTTCCTTCCTCCTCCTCCTCCTCCTCCTCCTCCTCCTCCTCTTCCTCCCTCCTCCTCCTCCTCCTCCTCCTCCTCCTCCTCCTCCTCTTCCTCCTCCTCCTCCTCCTCCTCCTCCTCCTCCTCCTCCTCCTCCTCCTCCTCCTCCTCCTTCTTTTTCTTCTTCCTTCTTCTTCTTCCTTCTTCTTTCTTCTTCTTCCTTCTTCTTTTTCCTTCTTTCTTCTCCCTTCTTCTTTCTTCTTCTTTTTCGCTTTTCCAGAGGAGTGTTTTTTGCTTTTTTGTATTTCAAATCTTTGACTTGATTCTTGCTGTTAGATCTCTGTATTTTATTACTTATTTCAGTCAGTCACTGTATACTTAATTTCTAGTTGATCCTTTTTCATATTCTCAAGGGTCTTGTTAAATTTATTGGCCTTTTCTAAGAAATTCTTGAAAAACCTTTTGACCGTGGTTTTGAATTCTATATCCAGACTTTTGCTTTCCTCCATTTCCTTCATTTGTGGCCTGCCTCTTTGTCTCCGCATTTTAGCTGCTTCCCTGAGTTGACGGAATTATTTTGTATGCTAGGTGTCCTAGCAGGGCTCAGTAACTTGGCCTCCCCAGTTACCTGAGATGGACACTCTTGGTGCAGCCCTTTGTGGGCTCCATGTGCAGTATTATTATAGTTAAGCCTTGATTGTTGTTGGTATCACTGGAGAGAGTTGACCCCTAGGCTAATTGGCTGTGAGGATCAGCAGTGTCTCTGCTGGTAGGGCTTCTGTGCTCAGCTTGGATGGGGCAGAGTCTCAGGGTGGAGCAGACAGCCTTGGTTTCCCATAAGTCCCACCTACGAGGGCCCTGTATCTCAGTGTCCCATGGCAATGGCTGCATGCACCTCTGAGAGAAGACTGCTCTCAAGTTTCACCCACTGCCAGACCAGTTTTACCCTGAATGAGTCTGGTATCCAAAGTCTCTCCCAGAGCTGGATTTCAGTGGAGTCAGGAGGTTTTGTTTTCCTCCTGAACGAGAAAGCTAGCCGCGCTGTTTGCTGCCTGCCCTCTCAGTGTGCTGTGAGTAAGCCAGCCGCATATTTAGCTACTCATCCTTTCGGCGCGCATGGGTCTCCACACGCATGGGTCTCCGCACCTCCACAGCTCCTCTTAGTCTGTGTCCTTTTCTCTTCCCTTCTAGTTGTAGAATGTCCACTAGGCCAGATTTCTGGTAGTTTTGGATGATGTCCACTCTGTCTTCCAGTTGCAGTTTTAAAATTGTTTTAAACAAGGCAGCAGTACAGGTGTTTACCTTATGCCTCTATCTTGGTCTGAACTCCTTCACTCTCAATATTTGCCAATAAAACCTCTCAGTGAGCATTGTTTTTATTTACTTAATTGTTTACTTATGTATTTAATCCTGGCATGGCTCGCATGGCTTGATTCCTGATCAGGGCACATGCCTGTGTTGCAGGCTCCATCCCCAGGGTGAGACAAGCAGAAAGCAGCCAATCAATGATTATTGATGTTTCTCTCTTTCTCCCTCTCCCTCTTTGAAATCAATAAAAATATATTTTTTAAAAAAGAAAGAAAACTATTAAAATAAGATTCTGAAGAGTAAAATTATTTTTGATGTGACCATGAGGAATTATTATTTTAAAGAACTGAATGTATTATCAAGACAATTTCTGTAAAGAAATATGAAATTAGAGTATGTAAAGATAAACACTGGAAAAGGGCTAGGAATATAACTTCTTGTAATTAGGTTCAGAACTTGACAACTGCTTGAAGTTTTAAAGAATTCACAAACACGAGTTAGATAGGCCTTGCCCTTAGTAGATTATATTTTGAGAGGCAAAGAAAAAACTTTTTAAGTAAGGCAAGTACAATATATTTTCAGTGCCATAAACAGAATAGAGTACCATTCAAGAAGATTCAGAGAAGGCACAGATCATATTCTTTTTCTTACTATCAGGAGCTGAACCGAATTTTGAAAGCCTTGTCATGCTTCTGTTCATGGCATTCTATTTGACTGTGTACTTACTTTATTTTGTAAGCATTGTTGGCCATGGTAACTGCTTATCTAAAATGGATTTGCTTATCAAATGTTACTTTGTATAATAATTGGACCTATTAAAACAAACATTTTTGAAAGATTATAAGTAGATAATTGGTCTTAATTATATTGATGTTTGCCAGCAATCAAGGCCAAGTTAGGTCACTTGAATTCATACTTAATCATTATGCACTGAACATTAAAAATGGGTGAATTGCTAATGAGTCATGAATGACTTCAAATTTCCCCCCTTTTATGGTAGTTACAACTGAGATATTTCTAGATGCTTTAAAAGTAAAACAACTCATTTCTTGGTCTTCCTCTTTGTTCTAAAAATTGGATCATATTTTGTATTTTCTCCTTTGTTGAATTTGCCAATAATAATCTCTTAACAGATTGGAGGTGAAACTTTGTGGTCTTAAAGAGCTTCTTTTTGTTTTGTTTTGTTTTTCCATTTTGGTGCTAGAAAAATTGTATATTAGGTTATTTTATAGTAATGTTTTCTAGTTTGAAATATAAAATTATAACTTATTGTTTTAACCTTTTCAGGGTAATATTTAGTAGAATTCCTGAATCTTTTCTTTGGAAATTTATTGCAATAAGAAACTTAAATCCATTTTTCAGTTTTGTCATTGTAAGCTACCCTGTTTCCCCGAGAATAAGACAGTGTATTATATTAATTTTTTCTCCCAAAGTTGCGCTAGGTGTTATTTTCAGGGGATGTCTTACCTTTCCTTGCGCTAGGTCTTATTTTCAGAGGATGTCTTTCTTATTTTCAGGGAAACACGGTAGTTGCTATCAACTGATATTTGAGATAATTCAGTATAATGGAAGGAGAAAAGAATGAGCATTTTTTTCTCCAGAGACCATACAACATATCTGTTATTTTTCTGTTAGTTCAAATACACTATTCTAGGACCTTCAGCTTGTTAACACTTTACATATATGATTACTTTAAAAGTTTTTTTAAAGGTAGGGATGAATAATAGTAGTAGCTCTTAAGGTTTATCAGTAGTTAAAAGAACTGTGAAAGTTCCTTAAGACTTTGAAATAATTTCCTTTGAGATAAATAAAATATTTGAGGGTGAATTATTCTCTGGAGGAGTTTGACTTTTAGGTATTATTGATCAGTTATATGACTCTAATCATACCTTGTTTACTTCTCATGTAGATTATAATGGTTTCAGTTCCTCTTTTGAGAGGTTTTTCACAACTTTTTCAAACTACCTATTGTTGCTCCACTCTGTTAGATCTTTCATCTTTTAGCATGTAAATCTGGCATTAACAATAAACTAAAGCTAGAGAATAAATTGATCTTTTTTTCTTTTTGTTGCAGACTTAATTCAGTGCACAAATGAGATGAATGTGAACATCCCACAGTTGGCAGACAGTTTATTTGAAAGAACTACTAACAGTAGTTGGGTAGTGGTCTTCAAATCTCTGATTACAACTCATCATTTGATGGTATATGGAAATGAGGTAAGTAGAATTTTTGGTTAATAAGCATACTGGTGTGTGGACTGCTTGTTCATTTTCTCCCCCTGAAACTTCAGGAATGGCTTTAGCAACTGAGTAATATAGGTAGAAAGGGCAAGGTGTCTAAGGAAAAAATAATTGTGTAATTTGGACAAAGATGGCTTATAAGCGAGAAAGCAGAAAGTGGATCAGAGCACAGAGGGCTTCAATAATGGGATCAAGAAGCAAAGATTTAAGGTCTAGAAATGGGTTCTGTAAATAGCACTAGTCTTTGCAGGCCTTGTACATGGACTGTATGTTTGTCTATATCCAGTTGGTTTTTTACTGCAGACCAATCAGATTTGTCTTATCTCATATAGTGTTTTTAGAAGCACTTTGCTTAATTCACGGGTGTGATGGCCTTTTGCTTAAAAGGACTGCTTGAATGCCTTCTTCAGCAGAGGCAAGATATGTATCTGAAGTCTCTTTTACCCAAAAGGGGAACAAATAGGATGCACAAGCTTTTTCAATTTAATGTTTGGAGAGAATCGTCTTTTTTCTGTGCAAGTCTAGGAACTCATTTTTGAATTCTTACCTTAAATGACTTTCTCAGCCCAGTATACTTCTAAAATTCTGTTAAAAGTATTATAACATTTAAAATTGTGTTAAAAATGTGCATGAAACTAGACAGTCTACATTGGTATGTAACTTAGAAAAATGTTGCCCCCTGGAAAATAGCTTCCTTAGAGATGGGAAGGGACTTTAGTCATTGGTATTTAGACTTCTAAGTACAATGACTTTAAAAAAATATATATATATATATATATTGATTTCAGATAGGAAGGGAGATAATAGAAATATTAATGATGAGAGAGAATCATTGATTGGCTGCCTCCTGCACGCCCCACACTGGTGATCAGGTCTGCAATTTTGACATGTGCCCTGACTGGGAATCTAACCATGACCTCTTGGTTCATAGACTTTCTGACATCCATCACTTTACTCATTATTTTGAGCTTTTCAATCCTGAGACTTTTCTGTCATCTATGACATATACCAATAAAGCTTCATTAAAATTCAGAGTTAAAACAGGAGTTTACCTACAACTTTATCATTGCAAACCCTCCATTTACACATTTTGGTGTGTTTTGTTTGTTTTGTTCCTTGTCCAAAAGTATTTTTATAGCTGCATCTAGATGAAATATTAATTTAGCTTTTTAAAAATATCATAAACATCACCATGTTTTATGTTCTCTGTATTTATCTTTAGTTATTACATAGTTGATCATATACTCCATGATTTTCTTAACTGTTCCCTTTGCTAGAAAATTTAAATTTTATTTTTCACTGTTTTTAAAAAATATATATTTTATTGATTTTTTTACAGAGAGGAAGAGAGAGGGATAGAGTTAGAAACTTCGATGAGAGAGAATCATCGACCAGCTGCCTTCTGCACACCCCCTGTTGGGGACGTGCCCACAACCAAGGTACATGCACTTGACCAGAATCATACCTGGGACCTTTTATTTTTATTTATTTATTTTTAATATATTTTATTGATTTTGTACAGAGAGGAAGGGAGAGAGAGAGAGAGCCAGAAACATCGATGAGAGAGAGTCATCGATCAGCTGCCTCCTGCACACCCCCTACTGGGGATATGCCCGCAACCAAGGTATATGCCCTTGACTGGAATTGAACCCGGGACCCTTCAGTCCCCAAGCCGACACTCTATCCATTGAGCCAAACTGGTCCCGGCTACCTGGGACCTTTTAGTCGGCAGGCCGACGCTCTACCCACTGAGCCAAACCGGTTTTGGCTGTAATTCACTGTTTTAACACACATTGACTGCTTTTATTTGTAATTTTAAAGTTTTAATCACTATTTCCAGAAGTGTTACTTGAAAATGAATACTTAGTCAGTAGGCCTGACCATCTTTAGGACATATATTACTATATGTTATTCACTTGCTTTCTCATTCATTATACCTAATATACAGAGTCAATAGAAATGCTTAGATATATTCATTTCAATGTAACTTGAAACATTTTTATCTTAATTAGCATAATTTATCAGTAATGTGTTTACTTAATATCATGATCATTTAATCAAAAGAATATAAGGTTTATATGTACTTTTAACAATATATATATATATATATATATATATATATATATGCTCAGCTTTTGAACAACATGGACTTATATTTCATGGGTCTGCTTATATGTGGATTTTTTTCCAGTAAATACTGTAAATGTATCTTTCTTAAGATTTTTAACAACATTTTCTTTTCTCTAGTTTACTTTATTGTAAAAATATAGTATCTAATACCTATAACATACAAATATGTGTTTGATTGTTTGTTATTGGTAAGATTTCCAATCAACAGTAGGCTAATAGTAGTTAAGTTTTTGGGGAGTCAAAAGTTTTGTTGTATTTTTTTTTTACTGCTCTGGGGGTTGGCACTCCAAACCCTACATTGTTCAAGGGTCAACTGTAGTTTATTCTTTAAAATAAAAAGCTACACATAATAACCAACTGCAAAGCCAGATAAAGAGGTTGTAAATGAGATAGAAGCAAAACCTTGATAAAGGCATTTACTGTTTTTCCTTACAATTGACTGATAGGAAGAGAAAGATAGCATTTCAGTAAGGTTTTTACTCTAAATAAACTCATGTTTAGTTTCTTTTAAGCAGCCAAGACAAATTCACTGCTCTGTTCATTTTTTGTGCTAATTTATGCAACCCTCAGGTTTTCACACTGGCAGTTGTTAGTCTGTTGAGAGAGGCTGCATAGGATCTTACTGTGCTGTGGTGTTGGGAATGCCAGGGGTTCTCAACTAGGGCAAAGGAGGAGAATGATTCTTCCCATCCAGGGGACATTTGTCACTACTTGAAGGAATGCAACTGACACCTAATGGAGAGAGGACAAAGATGCTTCTAAATGTCTTATAGTGCATAGGACAGGTAATCACAAAAAAGAATAATCAAAGCTTATGAAAATCAGAGTCTAATATTGCCATTTGAACAGGTTATTTTAGGATAAGTGATGAAATGTGAGTCTTTGATTAGTTTGTTTAGGGTGATTTCAGATCAACAAGATTGAATTTAGAGCAATGGAATGCATCCTAATTGATGGTAACCCCCTCTGCATACTTTAAAAAGAAGAATGGAAATCCTAAAGAGAAGTGACATTGAAAGTTGCTTTAGCTCTCTTTTTTCTGAGGTTATATGTAATGGGAAGTTAAGGTAGTGTTCTATGGTAAGCACTTTGGAGAGCATTTAAAGAATGTGCACTTTTACATATATGCTGACCCAACAATTCATACCTAACTATGTATCTTGAGAAACTCTCATACACTTGCACATGGAAACCAAGCACAAAGATGTCAATTAAGCATCCTATGTGCAAATCAACTGAACAGTGGAATGACCAGTTGCTATGACACACACTGACCACCAGGGGGCAGACACTCAATGCAGGGGGAGCGCTGCTCAGCCAGAAGCCAGGCTCATGGCTAGCAAGCTCAGAGTCAGTGGTGGGAGCTAAAGATGTCCGACTGGGGAGCGGGCGTAAGCTGTCAGTTGGACATCCCTCGAGGGCTCCTGGACTGTGAGAGGGCGCAGGCTGGGCTGAGAGACCCCCCAAGTGCACGAATCTAGTGCACTGGGCCTCTAGTTGTTAATAGTGAAATTGGCAAGAATTATAGTATCCATAAAGAAATTAACCTGTTAACCGGGGAGTTCCCTTTTTAATTACTCAACGTACATTGAGCGCATACTCTTTCAGTAGGACGTGTCAGTACGTCACACCCAGCGGACGTAATTTTATATTATTATTTTATTTATTTATACTTAATTAAAATAAAATATATTTTTTTGTTTATTTATATATAAAGCACAAAGTAAAATACAAAATTACAAACAAATAGAAAAGAATACCAACAAAAAAATGGAAACATCGAATTAAAAAATTATAAATTTTACAAACAATTATAAAGATTACAGCTGAAGCCAGTTTGGCTCAGTGGTAGAGCGTCGGTCTGCGGAGTGAAAGGTCCCAGTTCGATTCCGGCCAGGGGCATGTACATTGGTTGCGGGCACATCCCCGGTGGGGGGTGTGCAGGAGGCAGCTGGTGATGTTTCTCTCTCATCGACGTTTCTAGCTCTCTATCTCTCTCCCTTCCTCTCTGTAAGAAAATCAATAAAATATATTTAAAAGAAAAAAAAAAGATTACAAAAAATATATACCGTCCCTCTCAGGGCGCAACATATATTTCAAGGACGTATTCATATGTCCTACCCATTCTCGATAGTGTTTATGTTTGATGTATTTATAGGTCCTGCTTGGTTAACAGGTTAATACATAATATTTTTTTATATATATTTTATTGATTTAATACATAATGTTAATAGTAGTTCATTGATATATATATATATATATATTAAATATATTTTATTGATTTTTCTTACAGAGAGGAAGGGAGAGAGATAGCTAGAAACATCAGTGAGAGAGAAACATCGACCAGCTGCCTCTTGCACACCCCCTACCGGGGATGTGCCCGCAACCAATGTACATGCCCTTGACCGGAATCGAACCTGGGACCTTTCACTCCGCAGACCGGCGCTCTACCGCTGAGCCAAACCGGCTTTGGCAATAGTAGTTCATTGAAATACTAGAATATTTAAAATGAATGAGCTAGATCTACATACATTAAATGAATAATTCTTAGAGAAAAGTGGTTACAAAGCATATTAGAAAAGAAGTACAGTATATTTCTATAAATTTAAAATAGAAAACAAAATTATGTAGAGTTTCTAGATACTTATATATGTAGTAAAATTATAAAAATGTGGGAGTGATATAAACTTCAGAAAAGTGATTGCCTCTGAAGAGGGAAGAGAGTGGGAATGGGATTAAAAGGTGTATTTCAATAAATTGTAATTTTTGACTCTATAAGATGCTCTAAAATGAATATTTTAATGTGTTTAATCTGGACAGTGGGTAAGACGGGATCTGTAATATTGTTCTTTTGTGTGATTATAAGTATTTTTGTTTTTAAAAAAAGTTAGATGCCTCCTGAGTATGATTAGTTTTAGTCCAAATATGCTGGAAAAAAAGGACAAAACTACAGATTTCTATTTAAATGTGCCTGTTTCTTTGTATTTTGGCTTAAATAGCTATGGCATTAGTCCTTAACAAATTCCTATATGCCAGTGGAAAATATGTGTTTTTAGGTTTGCTAACTAGTTAATAGGAAGTCTGAGGATGATAAATTTAAACTAGATAAGATTAATGAAATGCGTCACTCACTTTTCTCTCTGATTCTCAAATTAGAGTTTGTTAGATGGCTATACAACAAATAGTTTGACATAATTATTTATTTTTGTTTTTCCAGCGTTTTATTCAGTATTTGGCTTCAAGAAACACATTGTTTAACTTAAGCAATTTTTTGGATAAAAGTGGATTACAAGGTAAAGACAACTTTCTTATAGAGTGTTCCTGTGTGATGATTTCTTCAGAGTTGAACTCTTTTGTCTTTTAGAACATGTGCTGTAGAGGAACCTTATTTTAGTAGTTGTAGCGGGGGAAAAACACACAAAACACTGTATTTTAATGTGAAGCTTAAGATTGAGTTTACAAATTGTTGCCCAAAGTTCTTTGCAAAACATTATAGGGTAATAGTTTGAGAACATGGATTTTGGAACTGAACTGCCTAGGTTTGCAATCCATCGGTACACATACTTGCTGTATGATCTTGAGCAAGTGCTTTTCCTCTCTGGGTCTGTAAAACAAGGAATAATGATAGCAATTATGCTATTAGACTTGTCATGAAGCTTAGCCTAGTTAATAAATGCAAAGTGCTTAAAACAATGCTTGTCAGCAAGAAACATTATGTACATGTCTGCTTTCATTGTTAATATTATTGTTTTATGTTTTATTCCAAAAAAATGTAGTTGGGAATATTTTACATTTTATTCAGATGAATTGCTCATTGATACATCTGTTATTTTATCTTATTTTACTTTTAATTTAGTGACTTGAAATTGCTGTAATCTTGTGTTGTAGCCTTCCATGCACATTTTGTCTTTAAAAAATATATTTTTTTGTTGATTTCAGAGAGGAAAAGGGAGAGATAGAAACATTAATGATGAGAGAGATTGATTGATCAGCTGCCTTCTGCATGCCTCTCAAAATCTGGGCATGTGCCCTGACCAAGAATGGATCTGTGACCTGGTTTATAGTTTGATGCTCAACCACTGAGCAACACCAGCAGGGCACATTCTGTCTTAATAGCATCTGTTGTACTTAGTTACAGAACTAGTTCATTAGCATTATAGAATGACAATTCTAGAAAGAACCTCATAAAAAATATACCAAATGACGTGGGAATATCCAACAGTAGGGCTCTACCTGGGAAATGTCTTTAGAGAAGATGAGCTTTGTGCTAGGCTTTGAAAAATGGATGGAAGAGTTGGCTTGCACAGAGTACATAGATGTGAAAGAATATGGGGTGTTTGAGATTTATAGAATAGGTGATTGTGAATAGAATGTGTGGTTGATGTATTGGAGAATATATAGTGGCAGATAGCCCTCAAGAAGCTGTTTGGGGCCAAAATTAGGCACAGAAGGATTTGATAGAGTTGGGATTTTGTAATGTAATGAGAAACCATCAAAGTTTTTTGAGTTGAGGGCTGAGGGGAGACGAAATGTGTGTAATAAAGAAAGCATCATAGCTCAGTGCAGGTTGGATTAGAGTGGATAAAGTCTTGAAACATCAAGACTGTTCTGGCCATCATTCCGGTCATCTAGTGGAGAGTTAATGAGAACCTGAATTGTGGCTCTTGTGGAGAAAAACTTCAATAGAATTTAGTGACTAGCTGTTTTTTGGTTAGGACTGTCCAGTTCAATACTTGTTTACTTATGGCTGGGGCCAGGGTTGGAACCTGCAACCAAGGTTCATGCCCTTGACCAGAATAAAACCCTCCAACCTTTAGTCTCCTGGCTGATGCTCTTATCTGCTGAGACAAATTAGCTAGGGCTGGTTCATCTTTTTATTCCCTTATTTAGTTTATTTGAACTAAGAGTCTGCAGAAAATAATATGCAAATTACTACTCTTGAGTATAATATATGCATATGTCCAAGTGAGTTTTTTGTGTATTATTAGCCATTTTTTAAGTACTGCTAGTCATACAGTGTTTTTAATATGTTTTTATTGATTTCAGAGAGAGGAAGGGAGAGGAAGAGAGAGAAAGAAACATCCATGATGAGGGAATAATCATCTATAGTCTGCCTCTATAGATGGGATTCAAGTCCACAACCCAGGCATGTGTCCTGACCAGGAATCGAAATGTGACCTCCTGGTTCATGGGACAATGCCAACCCAGTGATAAGGATTCAAGACTTTCATTCCTTTCATGTAGAGAACAGTTTTTAGGCCTTTGATTGAAAGCTCATTTTCTAAAGAGATTATAAAAATAATACTGAAACAAAAATTAAAAGCATATACTTCAGTGGTGTTTTTGAAAAGTAATTTTGATTGCTGATGTATTTTGTTGGGTGGAGTCTTGTATGTTTTATTATATACTGTGGGTTATGCTAGATGTATTAATATATAAATATAAATAAGCTTCTTGTGAGTTAGATATATACTGTGCACATGTAATAGTTTTAAGCTATATTTGGATTAGGAATAATGTGGGAGCACAAAGAGTTCAGGGAAAATTTTAGAGATTGAGACTTGAAGGATGAGAGGTATTTTCCCCAGTAGACAGGATAGAATCAACTGGAGGGATCAGTGTGAACTAAAAAGCTGAGGAATGTGTAACACTTTATCAAATATACTAGTGGCTTTGAGAAATTATGAAGACAGTGGTTTTTTTTTTTTTTTCTGTTTTATTCACTAATTTTTCTTCACTTGCATTTAGTGGGCCTTGAAAAAATATTTGCTGAATAAATGAACTGGTGATTATGTTAAATCCTGTCAATGTAAAGTTGTTTTGGTATTGTCCTTTTGAAGTAGCAGGGACCATCAAGTAAAGTTAAGTTTATTAAATGCAGGTGAACCAAAATAAAATGGACCTGCTTTTCAATGAGGAGCAAAAAATGTATAGACTTCTTTGACTCAGGCAGTAATTATAATACCAGATTTTTTTTCTTTTATACTGATTAGATTTTATGTTGCTGAAATTTTTATATCTCATGATTGTAATGAAACAAAACTTTAGAATGATTTAGGTATTCATTTAGAAAGTTTTATTGAAAACATAAAATTGTTTTTTTGTTATGCCTTAAACTTGCATATTGACATTCTGTCATTGTACCATATACACTTATTTTCTGTAGTTTTTAATAAGGTTGGCATACAAGGGCAATGGTTATTCTAAATAATTAAAAAACTAATAATTTCTTAGGAATGAAAATTATAAAAGTACTTAATGATTTGAGGCGTGGGATTGTGATTCCATAGGGTATTAAACTTGAGTTATTAGGTTGTCAAGTAGTGTAAAAACACTTTTCTAATTCCTAATAAGTAAAAGATAGGAATGATGATCAAAAGCAGAATTATTTTAGTGAAATTCTACGGGAGAAGGTTTTTCAAAGCCACATATGATATACTTGACTTAAAAATGTGAAGTCCTTGAGATTTTAATGTGATATTTTTCATTAGTCATTAAATTTACATCACAAAATTGAGTTGGAATATCAGGACATGGCCATTGGATGAAATGAGTTGGTTTTCTAAGCAAATTTTGATTTTAATAATTTATGAAAACCCTTTTTATTTTTTCATTTACAGGATATGACATGTCTACATTTATTAGGCGGTATAGTAGATATCTAAATGAAAAAGCAGTTTCATACAGACAAGTTGCATTTGATTTCACAAAGGTGAAAAGAGGGTGAGTTAATCTTCATTTCTTTTTCTTGACATCCAATAAATTTGAATATTTATAAATGTAAATCAAAAAATATTAGACTACAAATTACGGAATATGAGGGCAGTTTAAAAAATTTGAACTTCAGATTTCCTTGAAGGTGTACAACAGATACTTTTTGCAGTAGGAGTTTTAAATTTTATAACAGCTTTATTGAGATAGAATTTACATACATAAAATGTGCTGTATTTAGGATTTTAAATTCCGTGGTTTTTAGTATATTTACAAAGTTGTCCAATAGCACTACTATCAAATTCAAAAACAACATTTTTAATAATACTTTTTATTTTTTAATTACAGTTGACATAGAATACAGATGTACAACCCAGTGATTAGGCATTTATATAACTTACAAAGTGATCACCCTGATACAACTAGTTTATGTTTCCTATGCTGTACCTTACTTAACCCTAACTATTCTCTAACTACCAATTTGTACTTCTAAATACCTTCATCTTTTTCACTCACACACCCACCCCTCCCAATACCTCTCTGATTTGGCAATCATTAAATGTTCTCTATATCTATGAATCTGTTTCCGTTCTGCTTATTCATTTATTTTTAAAAATTTTTTGGATTTCACAAATAAGTGAAATCATCTGGCATTTGTCTTTCTCTAATTTATTTCATTAAGCACAATACCCTCAAGGTACATCCATGTTGTTTCAAATGGTAAGAGTGCATTCCTTTTTTTTTTTTTTTTTGGCTGAATCATATTCCATTGTATATAATGGAATATATTACTTTATCCATAAATTCATTTGTTGATGACTCGTAAGTTGCTTCATATTTTGGCTATTATAACTAATGTTATATTGAACAAATGGATGCATGTCTTTTCAATTTAGTGTTCTGTATTTTTTCAGAAAAATACCCAGAAGTGGAATTCCTGAGCCCTTCTTTGTCTCTTGTAGCCTTTGTTTTAAAGTCTTATTTTGTATGATACAAGTATTACTATCTTGGCTCTTTTTATTTCCATTTTTATGAAATACTTTTTTCATCTCTTTCTTTTTAGTCTGTGTACCTTTCTATCTGAAATGAGTCTCTTGTAACACAGTATGTGTAATGGTCTCGTTTTCTTATCGCTTCAGCCACCATATGTCTTTTGATTGGAGCATTTAATCTATTGCATTCATAGTAATTGTTGATAGACATGTAGTTATTGCCATTTTATTATTCATATTTTTTAAATCTTTTTCTTTATAGAAGTCCCTTTAACATATCTTGTATTGTTTATTTGATGGTGATGAACTCCTTTAGCTCTTTCTTGTCAGGGAAGCTCTTTTATCTGACTTTCGATTCTAAATGATAGACATGCTGGATAGAGTAATCTTGATTGTGGGTCCTTGGTTTTCATCACTTAATATTTTTTGTCTGCAAAGTTTCTGTTGTGAAATCAGCTGACAGTCTGATCAGTATTTCCTTTTAGGAAACTAGTTGCTTTTCTCTTGTTGCTTTTAAGATTCTATCTTTGTCTTTAATATTTTGCATTTTAAGTATGATGTGTCTTGGTGTGGGCCTCTTAGGGTTCATCTTGTGGGGAACTCTTTCAGCTTCTTGAACTTGTGTTGAGCTTCCTTGGACTTGTGTGTCTTTTTCTTTTACTATGTTAGAAAGTTTTCAATCATTATTTCTTCAAATAGATTTTCAGTCCCTTGTTCTTCCTAGTACATCTGTGATGCAGTTGTTACACTTGCTATTGTCCCATAGGTCCATTAAAAACATCCTCATTTTAGAAAAACTATTTTTTCTTTTTGCTGCTCTGATTGGGTGTTTTTTCTACCTTGACTTCCAAATTACTGATTCATTTCTGTGCTTTATCTAATCTGGTGTTGATTCCTTATAATGTATTTTTACATTTCTGACTGGTTGATTTTTATGGTTCCTATGTCATTTCCCCTCCTCTCCCCCCTTGCTGGAATCATGTAATATGTGTTTTTTTGTGTGTGTCTGGCTTCTTTGACTTAGCATACTGTATTCAAGTTGTAGTATCATTGTTTTAGGATGGATCAGTACTTCTTTTTATGACTAAGTCATATTCTAATGTATGGATTATACTACATTTTGTTTATTCATCAGCTGATAGGCATTTGAGTGGTTTCTACTTTTTGGCTATTAGGATTGGTGCTGCTATGAACATTGGTGAATAGTTTTTTTGTGGATTCTTTTCAGTTCTTTTGGGTATGTATCCAGAGGTGGAATTGCTAGGTTATACGATAACTCTTGAAGAACTGCCAAACTGTTTTTAGTTTTAAAGCAGTTGAACTGTTTTATGTTCCTATCTGCAATATATATGGATTTGATTTCTACACATTCTTGTCAATGCTTGTTATTTTTTTATTTATTTATTTATTTATTTTTTTTTTTTTAATATATTTTATTGATTCTGTACAGAGAGGAAGGGAGAGAGATACAGAGTTAGAAACATCGATGAGAGAGAGTCATCGATCAGCCGCCTCTTGCACACCCCCTTCCGGGGATGTGCCTGCAACCAAGGCACATGCCCTTGACCGGAATCGAACTTGGGACCCTTCAGTCCCCAAGCCGACGCTCTATCCACTGAGCCAAACCGGTCCCGGCTGCTTGTTATTTTTTTAAATTAATATTATAGTCATAATAGTTGGTATAAAATAGTATATCATTATGATTTTTTTGGTTCACGTTTTCCTGATGGGTAATAATGTTAAGTGTCTTTTTATGTCCTTATTGGCCATTTGTAAAGCTTTGGAAAAATGTATGTTCAAGTCCTTTGCTTATATTTTAATTAGGTCTCTCTCTCTCTTTTTTTTTTTTAATATATTTTATTGATTTTGTACAGAGAAGAAGGGAGAGAGATCTTGCACACCCCCTACTGGGGATATGCCCACAACCAAGATACATGCCCTTGACCGGAATCGAACCCGGGACCCTGCAGTCCCCAAGCCAACGCTCTATCCATTGAGCCAAACCGCTCTTGGCATAATTAGGTCTTATATAAGGCAATTTAGCATTGTGGATTTTGGTATTCATGGTGGGGATGTGCGTACTAGAGCCAGTCCCCACTAGTACTGAAGTACAAGTTATGTTCCCTAACCCCCCTGCATTATTGAAAAATCAACTGTACTCCCTTTATAAAGTCCTTTTTTGTTATACTGGCAAATTCTTAGTTATTTTTCAAGAACTCACTTTGACATTTCTTTGAGGAAGCCTTATTTCTGTTGTTAAATTTTATATGACATGCTCACACCCATGAGAGTATAGTTGTGCTGTATTCATATATTTCGGACTTTCCAGAGTGCCTAAACATAGTGGATATTTAATAGTTTCCAAAAAGATGACTAGATGAATTTGTAAACAATGAAAAATAGATCCAGTAAATTGCCCATAGATTTGTCTTTTTAGTTGGTTAAACATTGGACTCTTCATTTTTATTTGTTTAATATTCTAATTGGTAGTATTAACTTACGTTGAATTATCTTGAATTCTAAATTAGTACAGTTCAAAGTAACGACATTGTGTAAATTAATCAAGGTATTGTATGTGAATAAAGACATGGATAATTAGGCTTTAACCCATTGCTGTTAATATTTGGGAAGCAAGTATCTGAATTTAATTGTAATCTATTTCAAAAGTCGTAAGAACCTGTGCTCTGCATGGAGTCCCTTGTTCTGTACTTACTGTACAGTCATACATTTGATTTGAATCATGTCCAAGCATTTGGGATTGTAAATTATTTGAGTTTTTTGAAGTCTGATGTAATCATGATAACTGTTAAGATTCTTCTTAATTAAAAAATTTAAAGTTCTCTTTAAATGATGTGGAGGCTGAGAAAGGGAGGAGTCAGAAATATTCCCACTGTTTCTGGCATAAGTCTCAGGGTAAATGGCACTATTTGTAGGGAAGGTTTTGGGGAGTGGTGTAAGCTAGTGTATAGTGCTAAAAAGTAAGAATCTAGTTTTGGAAATACTAGTTTTGAATGATTTGTACAAGTTGAGATATCAAATAGGCATTTGAATATACTAACTTGGAATTTAAGAGTTCTAGTTTGGGAATATAAATATGTCAATTGCATTTTGCTAATTTCTGTCTTGGGAAGGACAGCTCACCTGGGGCATAAGTTCAGATTGAGGGAAGAAGGCCCAGAAAACCTTGAGATACATAACATGTATTTTAGAGATTGGATAAAAGATGAGGAGCCAACAGAAGAGATTGGAAAATGATCCTGAAGTAGGAAGAAAACAAAGAGAATAATATAGGAGATACTAAGAGAGTAGAATGTTACAAGAATGAGGAAAACTTGGAATGATGCTGAGAAATCTAATCAGATAATGTTAGGCCCATTGGAGAAGCAACATGGAATTCCTAGGTGACTTAAACAAGATAAATTGAACTGCATGGTAGGAGTGGGGCTTATAATGCAATGAATTGAATAATGAACAAAATGTGAGGAAGTGGCCACTCTTGAAAAGTATGCTTGACTCTGCAAGGGAATAACATGGGGTTAGTGGTGGTGGTGTGTGTGTCTGTTTAAAGAATGGTGATTCTAGAAACTTTGCTTGCATGTTCATGGGAATGATCTAGTATAAAAGAAGAGTAATAAGCTACATTGTGCAGAATGCTAGCTACTTGCCACATATGGCTATTTAAATTTAAATTGATTAAAATCAAATAAAAATCATTTCCCTTGTTGCAACAGCTACATTACAGATGCTCAGTAGCCACATGTGGCTAGTGGCTACCATATTGAATGGTGTAGAACATTTCCATCACTGCAGATAGTTCTGTTGGACAGTCAGAGCTGTGTTAGAAAAGAAGACAACTAAAGGATGTGACAGAGTGGGATCCAGAGGACCTGTGTGAATGGTGTTTACATTTGCTAGAAAGAAATACTTCTGCTACTGTAATAGGAATACACCAAATAAATGTAGTTTTGGTGGTGAGATGACCAGCCAATCTCTTTTATCATTTTCTACTTTTGAATGAAATAGTTTGAGAGTTAAGTGCTGAGAATTTGTGTGTTGGGTGTGTGATACAAGGAAGGTAGTAGTGGGAGAAAGAAGTTTGAAGTATAAGCACTGAGGAGAGGGATTCAAGAGAGGACTAAGAATTACTGGCAATGCCAAGTCCTCATTTGAAGTTAATTATATTTGTTATAGTTTTATCAGTTTGTTCAGTTTTATGGTTTCTTTACCAGGACTCAGCTGCATCTCACTGTCATGGATGAGGTAAATGTTGGCTCACCCAGGATTGTGAATTTGTCAGGTGACCACAAGGGAAGAAGAGAGTACAGAGGAATTAATAGTAATCTTTGGAATTCTAAACTAGATGAAGAAAGTAAAAATAAGGAAACAGTATGGATAGTAGGTTTGTTCATTGAAATTTATGATGAAGTCAGTTTTTGCCATCGGGGATAATGGATCAATGTTGCTAGAGGTTTGAAGATTATTGTTATAGGATATGGTATCTGAATATTGTTTTTGCTTTTCTCATTTGGTAGTGGGGGATGGTTGATTTGGCTTTTGGGACAGTAAACTCAGGATCTGACCATGGGAATAAGAACTGCTATTAAGGCATTTTGAGGTCAAGATGTTGAAATTGTTATCCATGTAGATGCTGAAGTTAACTAAGAAAAACTGAGGCAGAATTTAAGTGTTTCGTGATGGAGGGGAAGTGACCAGAAGTAAAAAAGTGACCTCAGCAAGAAGAGATAGGGAGAACTAAAAGGGGACCAAATAATGACTGGTAAAATGAGCGTATGATGACAATAAAAAAAAAAAGGATTACAAAGAGGGAATGGTGTCCTATTCCAAACTCCAGCAGCTTGTACCAATCAATGTAGTTTAGTGTTTGAGAAGTTACCTACTCTTACTGGGGAAAGTTGTTGTGTTAAAACAGTGGTCGGCAAACTCATTAGTCAGCAGAGCCAAATATCACAGTACAACCGAATGAAATTTCTTTTGAGAGCCGATAACTGACTTCTGCGCATGGGCCACGAAGTTTCAATTGCACTGTACATGCACACCACACGTAGTATTTTGTGGAAGAACCACACTCAAGGGGCTAAAGAACCGCAAGTTGTTTGTGAGCCGCAGTTTGCAGACCACTGGGCTAAAAAGCTGTCAGTAGCTGCCTACCTAAGGCACTTCAGTGTTGTGTGTAGTACAAAGCACTATTGTTGCTTTTCATAACTTAATTGTTTTTTCTGGCTTCTGGGGTTGTGATTGAAGGAAATAACTTCAGGGTTGGAGCAGCTGGTTGTAAGTATAGTTTATTTGTAAATTAGAGAAAGCTTGCGTACTTTTTGAAAGTGCCTTGTTACTCTGCCAAAAGGTTACAAAAAGCATTTTTTAAAGTAATATAGCAGGTTTTATATAATGACCCTACCACTGATTAGTTCTTTGACTGTAGACTGTCATATAACCCCACAACCTAAAATTTCACCACATATAAAATGGGGCAGGACCATCTATGTATGAGATTTTTGTGAGGATTTGGAAAACAGATCAGGTTCTCAATGTGAAGCCTGATATATAATAAGCACTCAGGATTAGTGGTATACCTTAGCCTCAGTACTTTTTATCTAGTGTTCTTGGTACTAGTTTTGTAAAATTCTAGCTTATTTGGTACTGCTAATATTTCTCTTATGTTTAGAAATATCTAAAGAAAAATATAAAGGAATATTTTTGAAACTACTTAACAATATTTTATTTAAAACATTCCTCTTAATAATTCACTTATTTTAATGATTAGATTAGAATGACTTGGTAAAATTGTCTTATAACAAAATGATTTTAGTTATAATTTTCTGTATATCAAGCAATTGGCATTTGAATAATTAATGAAATAGGCTTGATTTTAAGTGCTAGCTCCATTAAATCCTGACTAATAAGTGATTTCAGGCAATTGTAATTTTTAAAAAATAGTAAAATTGCACTTTACTGGTACACATATGTGTGGTTTGAGGATAAGATGATTTCCACATGTAAAAAGTACATTATAAACCTGGTTGTATGATGTAAACTTTGATTTTTATTCTCTTTACTTTTTTTTTTTTTTTAGTTTTAAATGAGCACCTTCATAGACATACTTTCTGTTTTTGTTTTTTTCTCTATGATTTATGCTTGAGATTTCAGGTTCAGTAATGACTTAAAAATATGATGTTTTATAGCAACTTGTTTTCTGTTTAGAGAACCATATGGGAGCTTAAAATGTAGGTTTAGTAACGAACTCAGTTATTTCTTTTTTAAAAAACAGGGCTGATGGAGTTATGAGGACAATGAACACAGAAAAACTCCTAAAAACTGTACCTATTATTCAAAATCAAATGGATGCCCTTCTTGATTTTAATGTAAGTTGATTGCACAAATCTTTTATAACTTAAGATTTTAAAAACGTTATAATTGGTTGAGGTTTTTATTTTCATAGACTCTGATTTTTCATACTAATATCCTATTTAGCTAAGTGTTTTCTATAAATGTGGACCCAAATCAGATTTTTCCCCATTTTTATAATTATTTTAGATTTACCCTGATTTCATGAGTGGTGCTTCTCTAGCTCTACAATTATAGATATAAAGTCATTTTTCTGTATCTACAGGGGATTGATTCCCGGGCCACCTGTGGATACAAAATTCATAGATATTCAAGTCCCTTATATAAAACTAGAGGCCTGGTACACGAATTCATGTAAGGTGGGATCTCTCCGCCTGGCTGGCAATCAGGGACAATTGGAGCTCTCTTTCCCATTCCCAATTGGGGCCAATGGAGGCCGGCTGGCGGGGGAGGGACTGTGGGAAGTTGGCCGGCTGATTGGGGCCAGCCGGCCAGGGAGGAAGGACTGTGGGACGGCTCCAGGACTTGTCCAGCCTTCCCATCCAGCCCCAATCTGCAGGACCCCAGCAGCAAGCTAACCTACTGATTGTAGTGTCTGCTCCCTGATGGTCAGTGCACATCATAGCAACTGGTTGAGTGGTCAACCGAATGGTCTACATATCACTCTGACACTTAGCATATTACGCTTTTATTGTATAGGATGGCTTAAAATTTGCATATAATCTATGCACATCCTCCCATAAACTTTAAATAATCTCCAGATTACTTATAGTGCTTTGTAAATAGTTGTTATACTCTGTTGTTTAGGAAATAATGACAAGAAAATAAGTCTGCATGTTCATTAGAGATGCAACCCTTGTAGGCCTTAATTACTAGTACATGTCAGCAGGAATGTAACTTTTTTCCCCTAAATATTTTCTATCTATGGGTGGTTGAATCCTTGTATATGAAGCACTTACTGTACAAGCTAAAGAAAATGATTGAGACGTTAAGGGGTTGATCTGAAAATCTGTTTTCTTTTAATAATGGTTTTTAGATTTAAAAAAAAATGTATGACAATTTTCTTTAGGAATAGCCAACTTAGTATTTCAATTTTGTAGGACTCAAAGCATGCAATTATTTAAAAAACATAAGGAATATTTTCACAAGAATTTGTTAAATTATATTTCACACATAAAATGGCTTTCAAAGTCTTAACACTTAATTGTGATTTTTCTGATGTCCACACTTTATTTACTGTAGAAAAATGCTTTCAGTCGCAGCATTAGTTCCTGGTTAAGGACAGCACGTATTCCACAATTCTAACAACTGATCAACAATGCGAACTTTGTTAAGCAGTTCTCGATAATCAGTTCTCAACAATTATTTGTTATTATTAAAGTTTAACATTTTAAAATTAACAAAAATAATATAAAACTCATATCCTGGCTAAATAGCCACATGGCCTCCGAAAACCGTATATTCTCTTCTCTTTCTCCCACCGTTCCCTAGCTTGGCTTGCATTCTTTCAAAAAATCTGGACTTTTTTAAAACACGCAGGACAAATTGTTAAAAATCGAGACTGTCTCCGCCAAAAGCGGGACGTCTGTTCACCTTAATTTAAAAGTATCTTCTACCTACTTTAGCTCAGTGCCTTTGTGATTGTAGTAGCCATATATGTATGCCTAAGTCATCGGAATAACCGGAACGACTGGAATAACCAGTCACTATGATGTGCACTGACCACCAAGGGGCAGACGCTCAATGTAGGAGCTGCCCCCTGGTGGTCAGTGCACTCCCACAGCCAACTTCCACCAGCTGGCCAACCTCCCGTGGTCCCTCCAGGCTGGGATGGAGAACTGAGAGTGGGTAGCTGTGAATGTGGCCCCTTTCCCAGGGGGACTGAGCTCCAGATCCTCATTGGGGTTGGTGGCCCTGTCTCTCCCCCTGGTTGGCAGGCCCTGATCAGCCTGCCTCCTACCTGCCATAGTGGCAAGGGAAGGAGGAGGCAGGGAGATGGGGAACTGCGCAGTGGTGGGGTGCCAAAAATGGTGGTGTCAGCATCTGGCATTCGTTCCTTCTGCGCCTGGCCCAGAGACCATCGTTCCTTCTGCGCCTGGCCCAGAGACCATCGCCTTCTCTCTGGCCCGGCCTTGATCGGCTGGACCCAATTGATCCCAATCACCAGCCAGGCCTAGGGACCTCATCCTTGCACGAATTTCATGCACCAGGCCTCTAGTTTAATAAATAAATACCTTTTGGTTTAAAAATATTCAGTAAGTCCTTGATGACTCAAAGGGAACATCCATCTAGAAAAGGACTTTATTTTGCAATTAGAAGTATTTAATGTTGAAATGAACTTATAATTAAAAGACTTTTGAGATACAGTCCATGAATTTCAAGTGTTAAAGGGTACTTTTGTTTTCAGTTATTTATCTCAAAATTAATTTAATGTTGTAGATGTTTGTTTGCTTGTGGCTTTTACTAAAATCTAAACTCTTGGATTTAAGATTTTTGCACTCCTTGGCTATAATTCTGATTGTAAGAAATAAATGTCTTTTTCTTTAATACACCTAAGTATATGAATTCACTGTGTTTTAATTAGAAGGAATTCATTGTTATTTAAAACATAAGATTTGCTCATTTTTTTTCCTTCTAATTTTCCTCTCAGGTTAATAGTAACGAACTTACAAATGGAGTAATAAATGCTGCCTTCATGCTCTTGTTCAAAGATGCCATTAGACTGTTTGCAGCATACAATGAAGGAATTATTAACCTATTGGGTAAATATTGCTGTAGCTTAATAACATTTTATTCTTATTTTGTGTCATATGGGTAACTAATATTGTCTGAATTGTTACCTAAGGTTGAATAAGTATTTATTGAGATATATTTATTTGTTATAACAATTTGGTCAGAAACTTTATACCTGTTATACATGCTGAGTGATTAAATATACTTTTACAACTAGAATGTTTCGCTAAATGAACTTTATATTTTTTAGATATATCTGTATATTCTTCTGTCAGTTTTATAATTTGTAGAAATATAAAAATTTCTTTAAAATTAACGGGATTTTTCTGTCCAGAAAAAAAATCTTATTTCTTCATAATTTACTCTATAATGAACTTTAACTATAAAATTGATATTTTTTCTAAACTTAATTTTAAAATGGATAATTATTTTAAATGCATTAAACATTTTTTTTAAGGATGAGTTGTTTTGAGGCATTTTAAGATTATATGGTGCTTTATTGTGTATTTGGTATATGGCTGATCCTTGAACAGCATAGATATTTTTTTCAACAAATATAGTAAATATATTTTTCTTATTTTATTTTTTGTTAATCCTCACATGAGGATAGTTGTATCGAGAGAGTGGAGGGTGGGCAGAGAGCAGGAGAAATGTGAAGCTGGTTGCCTCCTGTATATGCCCTGACTCAGGGTGGGAAGTAAACTTGCAACCCAGGTATGTGCCCTTGACTGGAAATAGAATCTGAGCCCAACCTTTCAGTGCTGGGGATGACACTGCTACCACTGAGCAACATTGTCTAATGGCTCTAATGATTTTCTGAACATTTTCTTTTCTTTTCTTTAGCTTTCTTTATTATAACACTATAATATGTAATATATGTAGAATACAAAATATATGTTAATTGACTGTTTTTCTTAAGGCTTTCCAGTCTATTAGTAGGTAAAATTTTGGGAAGTCAAAATGTATATGCAGATTTTCAATTGCATGGGAATTGGTGCTGTTAACACATGCATGGTTCAGGAGTTAACTATATATAGAAATGCTCTATTTTCCCCAATGGGATTTGGATTTGGTTTTCAAATATCATATATCAAATGTGTCCAGATTTCTTTTTGAGTGTGATAATTTTATGAAAAAGTATATTTATATCTACTTTTTGGCAGAAAAATATTTTGATATGAAAAAGAATCAGTGCAAAGAAGGTCTTGACATCTATAAGAAGTTCCTGACCAGAATGACAAGAATCTCAGAGTTTCTCAAAGTTGCAGAGGTAAACTATCTTTAAATTACTATATTTCTTAACCTTTTTTGTCTGTAAGTGTATATTAAATTCAATACTGGACATTGACAGCTAATTTTTTAAAATTTATAAATTAGGTAGGTGGCACACAGTAGTGTCAGTGGTTTTTATATTTGGAATTAGTCATGTATATTAGAAGATTTATTGTGTTAAAAATGGTGAAAACTATTCAATGATAATGCTAAAGTCTCTTCAGTGAGACTTTTACTGGAGCCACATTGTTCAAAATGTTTCCTGGCAGAAGTGAATGTAGTGTATTTATTGTTTTTCAGTGATTATAAAAACCATGAGTATGGATAATAGAGTAATCTAATTTTGCAAATCTATTTAAGAAATAATTTTCTGAACTTGTCACAGAAGACAGTTGTGGTAATCGTACAGGCATTATCTTGCTTGTACAGAGGCAGGTCTTAAAGTACTTTTGTTTGTTTTTACTTACCTTCTCTCTAACTATCACCACCAGAGATGTCTTCCTAGGATAATTCTGGAAGATGAGTAGGCTATAATTGATCAGTTCTATCAAAATAGTTAAACTGGAACTAGCAAGTTGGTGATTTTAGCTCTATTACCATAGTGATTTTATTCTCTAGCAGATGAATACAACAGGATGGTGAGACCTTTGGAAAAAAAAATGTGCTTTGTGGTGTTAATCAGCTATTTTATAAAGTATACTGCAGTTTATTTTGAATTTAAAATATCTTTCAAAGAGAAATTGTTTTCCCCCCATTTTTGTAGAGCCAGTCACATTAAAATCAGAAGATAAAAGTTTATGCTATGATTCCAGTAAATTCTTTAAATACATTTTAATTGTTCACTTTCCATTTTGGCCTGTTATATCTTTTGCATTTGGTAGTTATAATTATTTACTTAAGTTTTACGTTCTTGTTTACCTCCAGATCTATTGGTCTCACTTAGAGATTGAATAGGCCATCAGTTCCATATGATCTGAGAAATAAGATTCTCCTGCCCTAAAACATTTTTTCATGATGCTGTCTGTGGTTGTTATTTTATTATGAGATTTTCTTAATTCTTAGAGTAAAAAGGCACAAGTAACATTTTAAAATGTGTCTGAAAGGGACAAATCTATTAGTTATTGATTAGCTGTTAAGATCACAGTTTGATTTATTTTATCAAATTTTCTACTGTCAGTCTGGGGCTGGCCCTTGAGAAAAGAGAGTTATTAGAAAACGAAACATAGCGCCAGGGAGGGAAAGAGTTTTTTAATTTGGGTACTAGAATAATAAATAGGAATGGTTTTTATCTTCTTTTGCTGGAAATGTCTAGTGTTTGAACATCATGAAAGTCTATTTGGGATTGCTTTGTGAAAATAATTATATCCTGATTAGATAACAGTTTACATTTGTATAAAACTGGTCTACTTGAATGAACACAGGTTTTAAAAAATTATTATCTATGGTGATTGCTTGGGAAAGCATATTTTATGGAGGAAGACAAAGTTATTGTCAACAGGTTTGTTTTTTAACTCTTTTCATGCCCCAGGAAACTTGTTTGTAGTCAGCTTTTCTTCATTCTTGCCATGAGTTTTTATCATATAGCATCAAGAAGTGATAGATTTTTCAGATAATGTCAAGATACAGGTGCTTAGAAGATATGGAGATGGTAACTTAATAGTCTTATTGACTTTCCAAAAACTCTCTGGTTTTTCTCCTGTTACAACTTTAGAGCCATCAAATAACATCTAAGCATCTGGATATATTTGGAGATTAAATGTTTTTCTGAAGTCTGTCTAAAATATTGTTTTAAAATAGTGTTCACAGAACTAGTCATAAATGTCATTTTCTAATTGTTATTTATATAACATGTTTATTATAATTTTATCTATTAAATACAATGTTGCTTCTTCTTACAGCAAGTTGGAATTGACAGAGGTGATATACCAGACCTTTCACAGGTAAGTATATTTTTATATCAATTCACTATCTGCTATGTATTGTTAGGTGTGAAAAGCACCAAATGAATAATATGCAGCCCATGACAACAAGGAAATCAGTGTGATTTTTTCTTGACAGATTTTAATATTTTAATGTTTTGGTGATAATTGTTGTAGCATGATCATGTAGGCTGTTCTATTTACCTCTTATATTGGTGGAGCTAGCCACTGCTATTTCATTCTTTGAGTTTATTCTTTTTAACCTTTCCTGTCATCATCAAAAGGAAGAATTGAACTTAGCGAATGGTATTTTTAAAACAAAATGTGCACTATTGATAGAGAATTTTTTCCCCAATTTGTTTCCTTTGACAGGATACAAGACAAACACCCAGTTTGTTTGAGTTTTCAAAGGATATTTCCTTTGCCCACTTGAAGATAGAGACTTATTTTATACAGGATTTATGTTTCCTGTTTTAAACCTTCTGCTTTGGCTATTTGACTCAGGTAGGAGTATTAAATAGGGATAAACATCAAAACATGATTTGGAAGAAGAGAGCAGGCTTTGATAATCTGTTTGAATCCTGGCTGTTCCACTAGCTTGCCCTGTGATTTGGGGAAGTTACTCTATGCTTCAGTTTTGTCATCTCTAAAATGGAGATATTGTAATACCCACTTTATAAGGTAGTTGGGGCTATTAAATGAGTTAATACCTAAACACAGCATTAAGCACTCACTGTTAGCTATTATTATGTTGATTTTATCATCATCAAAAAAAAAATTGCTCGGGCTGGCCATTGTGGTTCAGTGGTTGAGCATTGACCTTATGAACCAGGAGGTTTGATTCTTGGTCAGGGCATCTGCCCAGGTTTCAGGCTCGATCCCCAGTAGAGGGAGCATGTAGGAGGCAGCTGATCTGTGATTATGATTTTCTTTCATCATTAATGTTTCTATCTCTCCCTCATCATTACTCCCTCTGAAATCAATAAGAAATACTTTTTTTATTTTTATTTTTTAATTATAGGAAAGAAACGACCTGCTTTTCCCCCCATGACTTTTTCTGTTTCTGTTTGTTTTTACTGAATATTAGGAATGAAAATACCTGGCATAAACTATCCTTGTAACATTTGTATCACTTCTCTCCTTAATAGATTTTTTTTTTTTTAATCTCATTTTAAATTGTTCTGGGACATCTCTTTAATAAAGGTCTTTGTTGTATTTCTCTGTATTCAGTTTGCTCTGTTTCATCCCTTTGATTTACAGGCCAAGAGTACATAATAGATCTATTTATGGGTTATCTGTCTGTACTAATAAAAGGACAATATGCAAATTAGGTTGGGAGACTTTCTGAACAAAACTATGATGGTGGGGCCAAGCCGAGGCAGAGGTGGTTAGGGGGGGATCAGGCAGGCAGGAAGGTGAGTGGTTAGTAGCCAATGGTCCCCCATTGTGAGAGGGATGTCTGACTGCCGTTTAGGCCCAGCAGAGACATCCCCCGAGGGGTCTCAGATTGGAGAGGGTGCAGACTGGGCTGAGGGACACCCCTTTCCCCCTCCCAGTGCATGAATTACATGCACTGGGCCACTAGTATGTAAATAAAACACTCTGCATTTGAGATAAATTGACCTTATTAAGACTGAGTACATTACTATGCACTAAGATGTGAAAAAATTATTGCTAAAACAATCTAAATATATAAAAGGCTAATATGCTAAGTGTCCTTCCACCTGTCCAATCAGTCACTGTGATAGGCACTAATCACCAGAAGGCAGACACTCAATGCAGGAGCTACTGTGATGGTCACTGGCCATTTACAGAGAAATGGCAGCATGGATCTGGTGCCAACAAAGTAACACTCATCTTCCCTCAAGTGGGACACAGGCCCTGCCACCACCCTGGAGTGACAGCCCACCAACTCACAGCCAATGCTGCCAAGACCCCATGGCCAGCCCAGAAATGGTGGCTGTGGGTGCTGGGTAATGACATAATGTAACAACACCCAGCTTCCTCATCTAGTGACTAGCCTCCTTGCAGTTTCTTCTGCCCAGGAACATGACTTGTTTTACAGGTGGAAACATTTCACACTGTAACCAAATGTCTGTGAAGCGCCAGTGTCTCGTCTCATTTGGTCCTCACAGAAGTCCTGGAGTAGGTAGATAGACTCAGTGGAATCCTATTTTCTAATCATTAGATAGAGAACAGATTTAAAAGGCTTGGAAATTTGACCCAACTGAAAAGAATTAAGAAATGGTGGACCTTGAAAATGACTTCAGGTTTTCTCACTGCATAGAATATAGTCAAACACTGCTGCAGTTAAATACAATAATAACCTGCTTCAGATTGATGTTTACTGCTGTGTTGCTGACAATTGCCTGAAAGAGAAGTTGGGATGCTTCACTTTGCTGGAAAAAGTTTAGCTACATTAAAAAGCAGGTCTAATTAAGCAAGTTTGTTCTCTTATCTATAAAAGGCTAAGTTGACTTGCGCATGTGCGGTACATATAAAGCTCTTACTGGCACCAATTACGTGTGTGTTTCCATCTGTCGTCATCAATCATGAATTGGTTGACATTTCTATTATAGAGAAAGGGCAAATAGTGATATTAAAATATTTCTTCTAATTAATTTTCTTTCAATGTGCATGAATTTGTGCAGTGAGCCATCAGTATGTGTATAAACTGATTTGATAGTTTCAGATTACCTATTACTCCATTTGTCAACCTTCACCTATATTTTGTTATAAAAATATGACCCAGGCCAAACTGTCATATTTCTGTACTTCATCCATGACATTGAAATTGATTAGAGGGCCAGCTTCCTGACCCTCCCTCTCTCTTAATGGATGATTTCTGAATGATTCAGAAATTTTTCAAAAGTGAACTAAAACAAAGCTATTTGTACTTCAGGGAAGATGATGGTGGTTATTATTTTCAGGAATGGAAATTTGAGATTCCTTTAAAAAATACCAAGATATATGTAGAAGAGATTTTGGAAATAGTTTGTTATTATTTATCTTAACATGATAGTTTAGTATTTGTAAGCCTCAGCTTAAACTTTTCAGAAAAATGTTAATTAACTATAGTTTAAATGACCACAGTTTTAATTTAGAATTCTGTAGCATAGTAATTACTTTCTAGGCTTTCAGGTTAGACATACCTTAGACCCTATGTTGGCTCCCACTATGTATTAGATATGTGTTCTTGGATAAGTAACTTAATTTTCACTTTCTCAGGTTCTTTATTTGTAAAGGGTGTACTAGTAGTGTCTTCCTCATAGCAGTGAATTTATACAACGTAGCTAGCCTGTTGTGTTATAGGATTTTTTTTAGATTTTAACTACTGTCATCAACATTCTCATCATCTCTGATAATAATTCTTGGGATAGTGTTTTGCCTGCCTATTTTCCGAAGGTTTTGTTTGGGTGGGTGAATTGCACATGTGTTCTCAATTCAATATAGATGTCAGTGTTACAATATTTTTTGTATTAATTAATTTTCTACTGTATCTGCTATGTGCCAAGATATATATATAGCAAGTAAAGGATAAAGGAAATTTTTCAAGTCATCATTGTTAGAGAAATTAGCTAGTTATGCCTCTTCCAGATATTGTTAGATCCCTGTAATCCAGAAACTATATCTCAGTATTTGGGGCAATTAAATGTCACATGCATTTTTTTTTTTTTTATTGAGGTAAATATTTATATCAATGAGTTTTGATAAGTGTAAACATTTGATAAAAATAAATTCTGTCACCTCAATTCTTGTGTGCCTTTCCAGTCAATCTCTGGTTCTCTCCATGCAAACCACTGTTTAGGTTTCTAATAATATAATTTTATCACATCTTGAACTTAGTATAAATGGAATCATGCAAGTATTTATTCTTGTGTTTGGCTTCTTTTGTTCATCATAGTGTTTTTGAGAACTATGTCATTGAAAGTACTACTAAATTATTCTTTATTGGTGCATATTTACCACAATTGTGTTTATTCATTTTCTAAATGATGGACTTTTGGATTATTTACAGTTTTTTACTATTTATAAATAAAGCTACTTAAATTATTCTTGAACAAGTCCTTTCTTGAGGAGATACATTTTTGCATCTATTTTGGATGAATAATTAGGAATGGAATTGGATAATTAAGGTAGATAAATATATATTTTAACTTTATAATTTAAAAAATCCAGATAATTTTTTTAAAGTCTTCCTACCAGCATTATATAGGAGATACACCAACATTTGATATTGCTAGACTATTTAACTTCAGGCATTTTAATTAGTAAGAAGTTGTATTTCATTGTGATTTTAATTTTTATTTCTTTGATGTTAGTCTTCAGTTTGATTTATCAATAATTATTCAAAAATGAATCAGGAGGTACTTATTAAGTACCAGGAACCTGCTCAACAGTCTATCTAGTTTTTAGGAGTATGGTTCTCTTTAAAATTTAAAGAAGTTAAATATTTTAAAAATGAAATAATTTAAGGATCTTCTTAAATGTTTCATGTTTATATAATTTTAGTTTTCATATTTTTATTATGTTTATTAATATCCCTTACTAAATCATTCTTAACTATAATAATAAAAACATAATTTGCTCATTAGGCCAAATGTCTTTCTGGATGATCTTCCCAACGAAGCCAGGTTTGCAAGAGAAGCCTGGGTCCTGGATGCCAGAAGAAGCCGGTATCGGCAACCAGGGGAAGGAAGGCCTATTCTTACACGATTTTCATGCATCAGGCCTCTAGTTTATAATAATAAAAACATAATATGCTAATTATACTGGACAGCCAAACAACTTTCCGGGCGACCTTCCAGACCAAAGCCGGGGCTGTGAGGGCCGAGCCTCTTGCATGAATTTTGTACATCAGGCCTGAATAATAATAATAATAATAATAATAATAATAGTGTCATTCTTAAGTAGCTAAAACTCCATTGTTAATTAGTTCATTATTTATGTTTCCCTCCTATGTCAAATGATACTTGATTTATTTTGATCAATGGCCTGATTATCATGAAAGTCTTATTTCTATAATTTCAGGCCCCCAGTAGTCTTCTTGATGCTTTGGAACAACATTTAGCTTCCTTGGAAGGAAAGAAAATCAAAGATTCTACAGCTGCAAGCAGGTACACTATTTTTCAGAGGGCAAAGAGCAGGAGTCATGTTTCTGAAAGAGTTGGTGAATCCAGATCTAATTCTAAGTTATTTACGTTGATTTAATAACTTTAAAAATTGGTTTAATGATAGTATCAACCTCATAGAGTTGCTGTGAAGGGTTAAATGGGTAGTAAATTCCTAGAATAGTTTTTGATCTTCAGTAAATGTTAGCATTTGTTAAGGTGATGATAGTGACTACTTGGTCTAAATTGTGTTCATATAATACCAGTGGTCTTGATCTGGCATCTAAAAGCATTCAGGAAACCTAGAGAATGGGCTGTGCATAAGTTAATCAAGAGTCCAGAGATGAAACACACTTTTGAAAGGTATATGGGGGAGCAGAGGAGCCTAGCTAAAGAAACCAAGTTCTCCTTGTGTCAGGACCCCTTGCTTTTTATTAACACAATTTGTCCTAAGGCAAGGTGGAGATATACACATCAAAGAGTAGAATTAGGTACAGAATCCTTTGTCAGATTGGGAAATAGCCCAAGACTGTTCAGGTATTTGGCCAACAGGAGGCAATAATATGTATCAATAAATTAAGATCCCCAGAGCTGTCTGACAGCAAGCAGTCATCCTTTGTAGGTTTGGGGAAATGCCTTTATGGTGATAACATGTGACTCAGCCCTTGTTGAGTCCCCAAGTTCCATCAACCTTTCGATGAAACTTGCAATTATGGCATGGTGATATTGACTTCTGGCATTCATAGTGTAAAGAATTCTCTTAAAGATGATAACACATTGATTTGTTTGATGTTTTATAATTACAAATTACCTTTTTTACAAATTTGATTAAACCTAACAACAGCCCTGTGAACTATGCAAGTAGTAACTCTGGGCCTCAACTCTAGGATGTCTGACATCAGATTTTATCATCTTTCTCTAATGTCAGTTCATGGGGTTGATTATTGACATATTATATTTTAATCAGTCTGTTAGGCTTAGTTCCAAGACGAACACCAATTACCTTATCAAATTGAAAGTAACATAGACCATCTCACATAAACCTTGTAACATGATTTCTGTGTTGGGTAGTGATTGAAATAATTTTCCTGTATTCTTACAAAGATTTTTTAAAAATATATTTTATTGATTTTTCACAGAAAGGAAGAGAGAGGGATAGAGAGTTAGAAACATCGATGAGAGACATCAATCAGCTGCCTCTTGCACACCCCTTACTGGGGATGTGCCCACAACCAAGGCACATGCCCTTGACTAGAATCAAACCTGGGACCTTTCAGTCTGCAGGCCGATACTCTATCCACTGAGCCAAACCCGTTTCGGTCAAAGATTTCTTTTTAACAGTATAAAAATTTTTTATATTTTTTCAGAATTTGGTGTTTTTTTGTTTTGTTTTTAGCAACAAAATTTAATTTGTAAAGAAAAATATTGGCTGAAACCAGTTTGGCTCAGTGGATAGAGCATCAGCCTGAGGACTCAAGGGTCCCAGGTTTGATTCTGGTCTAGGGCACGTACTTTGGTTGTGGGCACATCCCCAGTAGGGAGTGTGCAGGAGATAGCTGATCGATGTTTCTCTCACCCATGTTCCTAATTCTCTATCCCTCTCCCTTCCTCTCTGTAAAAAAAAAATCAATAAAATATATTTTTAAAAATTTTTAAAAAGAAAAGAAAAATGTTACTGAATTTTAAGTTTTTAATTCTAAATATGCTCTTTGAATTTTTTTAGTAGGTTTTTAGATGTATAAGGCCCAGAGATTTGAGAAAGTAATGAAAAATAAAGCCAATAAAGAAAATTTGTTGGGTTTCTTGCCTTCTCTGGGTGGCTTAGTTGGTTGGAGAGTATACCAAAAAAGATTGTGAGTTTGATTCTTGGTCAGAGCACATACCTAGGTTGCAGGTTTGATCCCTGGTCAGGATGTGTATGAGAGGCAACCAGTTGATGTTTCTCTCTTACATTGATATTTCTGTCTTAAAAAAAAATCAATAAAAACATATCCTCAGGTGAGGATTAGAAAAAAATTGTTGGGTTTCTTGCATTTATGTGACAAGTATATTACTTGCTCCTTTATTAAGTTAATTTTACATAAAATTTGACTTATGTGCCTTAGAGTAGAGATTAATGATGCTTGGTATGTGATAAAATGAAAATGAATAATGGTCATTACTGAAGAGTAGTTCTTCAGGTTAGCATTCTTTGCTACATGGATTTATTTTACTTAGAATTAACATTTGGGAATTTAATGTTGAGGTTTATGATACTGGTAAAGTTTTGATATAAGGGAAAGGAAGCAGCTTACTGTGAATCTGCTAGTGAGAGATGATGCATTGTGCATGACTAATAAGCTTGAAAAGGAAATTCTAATTTAGAAGGGTAGCAGATCAAGTAAGTGCCAGATGGACCAGTGACTGGAATGAAATTGACCTTCCTCTGAGGTATCCTGTGGTCCTCTGGGAACGACATCTTTGGGTATTCATGTTTTACTGTTCCTGTAGTAGCACTGAAAAAACCCAGGCTGTAAATTATTGGAGTCATTTCCTGTGAGAAACTCAGAATTTTTTTATTCATCTGGGTTTTCTTGAGAGTGTGTGAGCTTTTTCCTAATTATATAGGTTCCCTTCCTTGGAGCTTGGAACACTATATTTTCATCAGTCTGCAATGTCTCTCATCTTTATTGAGAATCCTTTATAAATCGAACTCTTACTTTAAAAAGAGTGAATATGTGGCCCTAGCCAGTGTTCTCAGTGGTTAGAGCATCAGCCCATGCACCAAAGGATTTCAGGTTCTATTCCCAGTCAGTGACTTGTGTCTGGTTGCAGGTTCCATTCCTGGCCTAGATCGGGGCATGTGTGTGTCTCTCACATTGTTTCTCTCTGCCTACCCTCTCTATCTCTCTATCTTTTCTCTATCCTCTCTCCCTCCCACTTTCTCTAAAAATTTAGTGGGGAAAAAGTATCCTCTGGTGAGGATTAACAATAACAACAAAAAGTGTGAATGTGTGTGTAAATCATGTAACTGCTAATAATTCTATAGGTTACTGGGTAGAATATTTCATATGAAGTACTGGTTTTGACTTCAGTAGTTCATAATTATGTGCCTATTGGTTGCCAGATCATTTCATAACCAGGTTATAAAGTGAAATGTTTGACAAAAAGCCAAATTACCTTTGTCCAATTATTCTAGGGCTACAACACTTTCTAATGCAGTCTCTTCCCTGGCAAGTACTGGCTTGTCTCTTACCAAAGTGGATGAAAGGGAAAAGCAGGCAGCATTAGAGGAAGAACAGGCTCGTTTAAAAGCTTTAAAGGTAGGTGTGTGCATTTTTTTTATTTGGAAAAACAAATACGGGTGTTCATAAAATAATTAGGACCTCTATAGAGACTAATAGTATTTAATGTATAGTTGTTCAACTGAGGTAAAACTCAGTACTTAGTCTAATTTTTGGTCCTAAAATTGGATGACTGATAACAGAGAATACCTTTCTGCTATCAGAACAAAATTAGAAAATACTTTTGTTTAGAGAACTTATAAACAAATCTGCTTCTAGAATCCTTATGGTAGCTTCCTTTCTCGATAGGAACAGCGCCTAAAAGAACTTGCAAAGAAACCTCATACCTCTTTAACAACTGCAGCCTCTCCTGTGTCCACCTCAGCAGGGGGTATAATGACTGTACCAGCCATTGACCTGTTTTCTACCCCTAGTTCATCTAACAGGTAAGTGGAGACGTTAAAGATTTCTATTGAATACTTAGATTTAAAGACTTCTAATAGAAGTTTTGTATAACTTTTTAATTTTAATTTGTTTTATCATTTGTAATAAAAAATTCATACAAAAGAGATACTGATAAGTGGTTGTATAGGTGTAATCCTAACATAAAAACCAGGGTCTATAATGTTCAAAATGACTTAAGGATCAACCAACTAGAAGTCAGTCCTGCAGTCAGTGTGCACTGACTCCAGTGCAGGGGACTGCAGATCAGGCCCGAAGAGAGGCCTAGAGAAAGAAGCAGGGTCTGATCCGAAGCCTCTGTGGCAGCTGTTGATCAGCCTTTGCCTCTCTCTTTCTCTGGGGCCTGGCCAGTAGCTGAGCCTCTCTCTCCGGGCCTCCACGAGGGCTGCTGATTAGCCCCTCCTCTTCGATCAGGCCTGGAGATGCTAACTGGCATAGAAACTGACCAATCAGAACCAAATCTGGGTGAATTGTCAGGAGCCAGTGGCTGCTTAGGAGACAGAGCTTTTGATGCTGACTGGCATAGAAACCAACCAGTTAGAACCTAATCTTAGGTGAACCGTGAAAGCAGAACCTAAGGTGATGGCTGAGAAGGGGTTTTAAGAGCAACCGCTGTTTGGGGTAAGGTGTAAGAAAGCAGTTCAATTTTTTAATGACCAGTTTGGCAATATAGTGCATATGGTTGGCTATCAGTCCAGATATAGGGATTATGTATTTTTGTCTGCCAAGAGCATCTTCTTCTGCTGAAAAAGCACCTCTCCCCCAATCTAAGCAATCCTATTTTCTATAATCTGTCTATACTAATAAAAGGGTAATATGCTAATTAGACCAGGTTGACTGATGGCCAACTTCCTTCCAGAAAAGTCATAGTGATGAGGACAGAGGCAGTTAGGGGTGATCAAGCTGGCAGGGGAGGGCAAGTTAGGGGCAAGATCAGGCTGGCAGGGCAGGGGGCGAGAGCAGGCCAGCAGGGGAGGGGAGTTGGGGGCAACCAGGCCAGCAGGCAGAGGCAGAGCAATTAGGCAGGCAGGCAGGCAGAGAGGTTAGGGGCGATCAGGCAGGCAGGTGGAGGGGTTGGGGCCATCAGGCAGGCAGGCAGGTGAGTAATTAGGAGCCAGTGGTCCCAGATTTCGAGAGGGATGTCCACTGCCAGTTTAGGCCTGATCCTGGGCTCTCGGGCTGTGATAGAGTACAGGCCAGCCTCAAGGGACCCCTCCCCCTCTGTGAGTGCACGAATTTCATGTCCCAGGCCTCTAGTTTATAATTGAAATAGAGTTAGATTATCTCTTGGCAAACATGTCATTGCTTATAAACACATTTATGAGGTGTCTAATGGTTCAAAACCCCTTATAACTGTGGGAGGTGTGTGTGTGAGAGAGAGAGAGAGAGAGAGAGAGAGAGAGAGAGAGAGAGAGAGAGAGGGAGAGGGAGACATGTATTTCAAAATATCCTTTCATTGGGTATTAAATGTCTTTTTCATGTCCATTCCTTGGTGTTAAATTCAGTAGTCTGGAGCACAGTAATAGTCTAGTTGCCTACTGAAGCCTAACAGATCAACATCAATAATCTTGTTACTTAATTTAAGCTACTTAATATTTCTAGGCAAATTAAAATAATTGGCTTTTTCAAATCTGTTCTGTCTTTTACTTCATAGTGGTTTAAAGTAGAAGTGTGGAAGTCAGATTGTGGTTTGAATCCTGGCTCTGTTAATTTCTTAATCTTTTTTTTTTTTTTTTTAACCTCAGTTTCTAAAGAAGGTAATGTATAGTATAGTATAGGTCAGAGTTTCTCAATATTAAGTAAGCATGAGAATCACCTGGAGGGTTAATTAAACCACAGATGTCTTAGTTCCACCCTGAGTTCCTGGTGTGGGGGGAGGACCAAGAATTTTCATTTTCAACAGGCTCCTAAATTTAGCACACAGTGTTTAGCTCCCTAAAGTTTCAGTTGTTTAGTGAATTTAGTTTGTGTTTTTCTTTCAGCTTTCTTTTTTGCTTTCTTTTTATATGCCACTTTTCTTAATCCCCAACAAAATGACATTGAACCCATTATTACATTTTCCACTTGCGGACCTTGAAAAGAAGTTTGTTTTAGGGGAAATGAATGGGAAAAAATGTTTGAATGTTTGAGGATGAAAAATATTTTTTTCATCTAATTTGACTTTGTTTTATTTTACTTAATTTACTCAGAAGTTTTCACCTTTTTTATAGTAATTAAGAGCAAATCTTACAGCCTGTTATAGAATGCTTATTGCATATTCTAAATGTATTTGTACTTGTACTTAACCAATGTATAAAACTTTTTTTTGTATCTAAAAGACATTTCTTTAAAATAGTTTTAAGTGTAAATTACAAGTGATCTAAGCTGTGGTACGCTAATGCTTCAGTTCATGGAAATTCTAGGATTGTTTTTTGAGTTATTCCTTAATTATATAAAATTCTTGTGGTAAAAAATATATAAGCATTCCCCTCTGGAGTTGTGTAATGGATGGCTGTTATAAATTTATAGCTAGTTGCATGTATAATTTTCCCCTGAATTATTGACATGTTTGGAGTATGAAGCAGTAGAGGTGACGTTAATAGATATTTTACTTTGTGTAGGTGTATTGATATTGCAAAAGCAATTGAAATTCTTTGAAGATTAAAAGAAAGAAAACAACTTTAAAAATATTAAAATTGCCATGATATTTCATATTTTGAATCATGTCATTTAGATTCATTTCAATAAGGAAATCAGTACTTTACTGGGGAAGTTACTGACCTTTTCCTGAAGGGTAATTATTACTTGAATTCTCTGCAAAGTAAAGATATGGTTACTTGAATATTTTTCTAGGCATTCTTAGAAATATGCTGTTGTGTGAAGGATATGCCATTGTTATCTTACTGAAACTATTCCTCCTGAGATTTACATTTTGAGACTTTCTCTCAGTTTTGTTTGTAATGTTTTTATTTACTTGGGAAAAGGGAGTGACTAAGTGGCAAAGTTTATCTAATCATCTTTTCAAAATATCTTCCTAGCTCATCAAAGCTACCAAATGATTTGCTTGATTTGCAACAGCCAACTTTTCACCCACCTGGACTTTCTATGACAGCTACTTCTCAGGTAGCAAGTACATGGGGAGGTAAGCATTAATGAACTCTATATATTGTACAGGCATCTTCCCTCCCTATTCCTATTCTGTGGTATTTTATTTATTAGCATAGCTTTGATTACACTTGATACATGAGAACTTAAAAAAATAATAAAATGGCAATGAAGTATTTGCCCTTTGCAGACATGTTTAATTATAAATGTAATTTTAGAATTGATGTTCAATTAAATTATTACTCATTGTTGACTTTCTATTCCATAATCAGAAAATGTGTAATAGTCATTTTACTTTTGGTATAGAAAAAATAATTATTTGGAGGGGAGAAAAACTCAGATGGTGTTATCAGGCAGTGAATGAACTATGTTCTGATGGGAAGTGTCATGACAAACTTTATATACTACCGGTACTTATATTTAAAATATTGATTTAATTCAGACCTATAAGATTTTGGTATTCCAAGATTTTCCTCCTAGTACCAACAGGAATATTTATCTTTGATGACTATATCATGACCATGACCATGGCATCTTTAAAGGGGTGAGCCTAGTCTATATCAGTTTTTAAGCAATTTTGCTTAGATATTTAGTATGCTTTTAAATCATTTCCTTTGGTAAATTTTGGTGCTTCTATTTGTTAGTATATGTGTAAGTATTATTCTATAAACACTCAAAAATATTTGGGAGGGAAAGGAGATATTCTGAGAAAGGGCACTGTCTAGGGCAGCGGTTGCTAACCTTTCATACCTGATGGACCACCAGTGGCCCTAGGACCATCAGTTGGCGACTGCTGGTCTTGGAAACTTATAGAGAATGGCAAACTTACTTTAAAATTTATATGTGGCTCATATGTAAAATCTGAATTGATTGTCTCTCGCATATCAAAGATAAAGAACATAGTGAGTTTTTATGACGTGAATTAGACTTTTTGCATCTTTGTTTTAATAATTTGAGTTTTAAGAACTTTTATGTTTTGTGTTTTTTATAATTATTTCTTAAGGCTCCCTTTTGTATAATAGAATATAATCTATATGAAGGTAGATGTTTTCAAATATTTTTCAGGACTCTACCCCCAATGTCTGATTTATAATAGGTACTTTATAAATACTTGTTGAATGGCATTTTCTTTACTTCTAGACTGGGTCATTTCTGGTTCAAAATATTGGTCAGGGAACAGCAGGAGTAGTGAAACACTAAAACACTAGGTTTTTAGACTCATTTTGTGAGCCATAACTTAGTTAAAAACTAGTGGTTTCTGGAGGCAATTTTAAATTTGCTAAATCTTGAGATCTGGGAGTAGTAGTTTCTAAAAATTATAACCTACTTTAGAGTCAATAAATATTTTAGATTTAGCTAAGTGAACTGTAGACAGCTAATTTAGATTAAAGAAAGGAGTTTCTTAATATTCTAATTAGTTCTAGTTTTGGGATTTTTAATCTTCCAAAACTTACATGCTTATTTTTTGTTCATTATAAATTACTTTAGGAAAGGGTAGTAGAAATAGAAGGGCTGTTTAAGCAATTTCAGCTTGCTTCCCATTTGGGAAAAAAAAAAAGAGTAGTTTTTCTAAGTTAAAGCTGAGACATTGTCTTTCTCAATAGATGAAAAATTTTTACAAAAGGCTAATGAAAATTAATATAACATTTCAAAACTTAATTCTGAAATTATTTTGTCTGGATACCATATATCATTAATTCTAACAATGACAAGTTAAAGTTTTTGCTCGGAATTATTTTGAGCTCATATGTGAAGGCAAATAAACTGCTGCTATAGGAGAATAAGTTTAACTAATTTCAGCCTGTAAGAATTGTTCTATGTCCTGTGATGAGAAATATCCATAGGCATCTATTTGTGAATAGAATATGTTGAACATACATTTAATTAAGTTTTCTTTTTCTGTTTTTGTTTATTTTGGCTTTTGTACTATTTTCATCATAATTTCCCCCATATTTTAACATTAGGCTTGCTGTGTACAAGTGAGACTATTAAAAATGTTTTTTAAAAAGTATATATATATAAAAGTGTGTATATATATATATATATATATATATATATATATATATATATATATATATATCAAATACAGCGGGAGCAAGTACAGAAGCAGAAAAGCTAATCATTACATATGAGGAAAAGATGTTGATTCTTACTATGAATTCAATTTAAGAAGACTTAAAGATATTTGGCTTCTGAGTTGGTAATAGTTTCAGAGTTTGACTTCTGCATATTGGTAGCTTAATAAGAGTATTTTAAACAAAAATCTTGAATGCTTCCTAACAGAATATTCATCTCCATGCCATTTAGATTAAATTTTTTACTTTATTATTAAAATTAAAATTAGATTGAGATAAACTATTAGGTCTTATATATAAGAAGCTTTGATCATAATGATAAATCTTTAAAAGGTTTTTGAAATTAAGCATTTACCTGAACATTTGAAATATGTATCATTTTGCATTGTTTGTTTTTATAGCATGTGACAAAACAAAGATGATTATTTTTTATTCTAAAATCTCATTCTATTCTTATCTTTTCATTCACTAAAGATGGGTATTAATAGATTTGGTATATAATTTAGTTCTTATTCTTACCATAAACACCACAGACATAATGCATATTTCCAAGAACAGATAAGTTAGTGATACAGAGTTAAAGGGAGGTAAGAGTTGTATGCTTATGTGAAGGCATTTAAGATTCCACCAAAAAGAGAGAGAACACAAGCTTTCCTGTTCCTCTTATTGCATTATTAACGAGCCTTTGATTTTTAAAGAAGTGTTCTGGACTCTAAACAAGCACTTGATATTGAATACTAGTATCTCAGAAGATTTATGTTGTCATCACTAAGAAAACTGAATTACAACAGGAAAACAATACAATATTATCAACTCAGTGCACTTTGTATATTTTAAGCAAGATTTCTAAACTTAATTCAGGCAAAAAACAAACAAACAATTATCTATTCTGAAGTTTAATTTGCTGTAAGTCCCAACTAGCATGAAACAACATTTTATGAAAAAAAATAAATTTTCTGTGTATAAAGAGTATTTAGAATCTCAAGACTATAATATGACTGGACAGGTTTTATTTTAATCCTTTTTTTAAATTATTCTTCTATGACTCTAGTATAACAAAATTAAACTTCCAAATAAATAATGATTTAAAATAATGGAAAATTCATTTTTAAAAAGTTTTAAGAACTTAAAGGTACCCGTCTAATTAGTAAATTTAAGTTGGAAATTAGCTGGGATTTTTTTGTTTTAATGAATGTTTTTATTATTTGTTTTATAGTATCTGTTTGTTCATTAACATCATATAGAGTGCCTGTCGTGTTTTGAAAAGTAGATAAGAACTAGTTTTTCTAATTGTCTGATTGACCTAAATACACATGCACTTACACATATGTGCATATTCTTCTTGAGGATGTTTTGCTTAATAGAAAATGATTGATAGTATGTGCGTAGGCAAACACTTATCAATCAGTAGAATAGCAGATAACTAATAGTGTCCTTTCCTGAACATGTTTTTTCTCATAAAAGTGGATCTGTTCTAAAATTGTGTGTTCTTTTTTTTTTTTAATGACTTCTCTCATGGCTTTTTTTGCATAGAAATCTAGAGAGTTTTTTTGTTGTTGTTGTTGCTTATTGTCCAACAAAGTATGATGTACTATAAAAAGTAAATGTTTAAAAATAGCACCTACAACTGAACCAATCAACTCTAAACTTAAATGAGCTTCTTATACAAGAAGGAGTTAGAGAAGTCATCATTACATGTTTATTTTAGTACAAAAAATACAAAATATATATTTTCTTCTTAATTATTTTTTTTGAATCTTTTCCCTCATTGTTCATATATCCTCTCTCTGCAACTGTAGATGTTATTGATGATGCCATTCCAAACTTAATATAGGAAATATGTTAACATGATTTCATCTGCGTTTGAATAGTACATCAGTGAACTTTGATATTTTTGTAGGACTTGACTTTTGGCCATGAATTGATATTCCATACTAATGCTTATTGTCTAGAAAGGTCCTTAAATGATACAAAAATTTTAAAAAATTTAAAAGATTTATGATATTTAAGCTGTGACCTCAACATTTTCTTTGTTTTTCTTTTGTAAACAGTTGTGGTGTTTGTAGAACACTTGTCTTGAATTTATTGATTTTATGGAAAGTATGTGTATATCATAGTGAGTGAGCAGGTCTTAGGCCATTGCTGCCTTCTGTTCCATCATACATCCTTAGAGTAAAATACAGTGCTTGATATTCTTTAGGTACCATGGTCTTCTTCACTGAGGGTCACAAGCTAGAATAGACAACAGGTTGTTTTCTTGTCATTTTTTTATTGTGTTGTAAGAAAAAATTATACTATATTTTTGCTACTCTTTGTTTTTTCCTCACTCTGTTTACTTAAGGTAGGATAAATGGCTTTCTGTCATTAGATTAATGATTATTTTGAATCAGATATAGGTACAGGAAATGCCTGATTATAAAACAACTTTACATATAGAACTTGATAATAGTATATATATACTAACATTCTAATAGGGAAAAATACCTTTGTTATTTCTTCAGTAACAAATAACATTACCTTCCTTTAATTTTAAAGCCAAATCTTTAAAACTCTTAGCTTGGCCTTTGAAGCTCTTTACAGTCTACTGTAAATGGCCAATCTTTAACCTCTGTTTCTAATTTTTTTAAAATACTTTTCCCCATCATTGGATCTTTTCTTCATCTTTATTTTCTTATTTCCTTCCTCTGAACTTATACAAGAGTTATTAATTTTTTGAGTAAACATAGGTTTGCCACAAGTCAATACATGTCCCACCTAGAGTGAGGAACATGATGTAAGATGGATGGCCGTTTTACAGAAGCATTTTGTTTATTATTCCTTTTTAACTACCTGATGGTGGCTTCCTAATGCTGGAAAGCAGATCTATTCTTAATTTGCTACCATTAATGGACACATAAATATGTGTGTTTTTTCCAGAGGATTCAATTTAAAATATGTTAAAATGCAGTTCTTCCATCTTGGTGATTAGGTGTTTTTGCATGTAAGGTTAATAAGCAGTAATATAGCCACTACTTTTCTCTTTGCATCTTTTGACTAATTACAATACTAATTAATTTACTTCCTTTCTTCATTTTGTTGAAATGCACTTGGACTACACAGATCCTTTCTCTGCTACTGTAGATGCTGTTGATGATGCCATTCCAAACTTAAATCCTTTCATCACAAGTAGTGGTGATGTTTACCTTCCTATTCCTGCAGATGTACCCACTTTTACTACTAGGACACCTACTCATGAAATGTTTGTTGGTAAAGTACCATTTAACCTTTCTTTCCAATTAATGTTTATACTGCCTACTTTTTTTTTTTTTAATGTATCCATTAATTATTTTTTAAAGTATTGCAATAATTATTTTAAATTTTGATATCATATTTAAAAATAACAATAGTTATAATGTAGCGAGGTTTTTAAATTGATACTACTATCCCTGGTTTTATTTAATGCAAGTTTTTAGGAAAGAAAAGTTCTTTTGAAGTTACACTTTTTTAAGTGTTTTGTTCTCTATTATGTTGCAATACTCAAGCTGTCTAGCATCACATGCTAAATCCTGTCTATTAGTTATGATAATTGATTCTTAGGAGAGTTGTTGGAAGAGTAATATCTCTTAAACTTACATACATGTCCATATGTGCTTATATTTTTCCTCTGTACATGGGAGATAGGCTTATTATATTAGGAACTGTCTTAGTCTTCTTCCCCCCTCCTTTAGAAAATATATATTTTTTACCTTTTATTTCTGAATTATTTTTTCTGAATCTTTTTATTTGTGAATAGTACAATCTATGCATGCCCTTAAGTGTCTCATGTTATAATTAGCCTTAAGGTAATTGAAAAGTGGAAACTGAAAAGCAATTGGCTAAGTGACCTTTAATTGCAGTATGAAAATCCATTAAAAGTCAAAATTTCACACCAGAATTATACAAGAAGAGTAAGTTTTTAAGTATATCCAAACCAAAATGTTTTTGAATCCTGCTAAAACGATGCTAATCCTGCCTAAAAAGATGGTGAAACTGCTTTTATACACTTCAACAAAATAGCTTAAGGTGACACAAATTTAAATCTTTGATTAAAGCAACATGCAGAAAGTCATCTATGAACCTATACTCTGCATACTCTGTTAGATATATCTGAAAGAAAGGGAGGAAGGAAGGTGACTAGAAAGTATTAATTGGAGAATTGAGAAAATTCCAATGCAGGAGCTCTGGTTATATATAACTAGTCTGATAGCTACAACCCATAATTATTGATTGCAATAATTCCTTTGTGTCATTGTAATGCATTAAAAATTATATAAAATGTGGTTGAAACTAAATTTCACATTTTGTTATTCTTTAGAAAATTTGTCAAATGGAATACCTTATTTGCTTGATAATAGGGGTTACTAGAGTTATCCTTGGAGTATTTTTTTTTCTTACAAGTTTATATTTACTCTGTATGAACAAGTATATGTTTAGTAAATATGGTTGTTTGTATCTTTTTAGTCAGTTTTCTTAACTTGAGATATAAAACAAATGTCTTTGCTTTGGGACCATGTGTTATTTCCGTATTTTAGGTTAGAACAGTGCATGGGCTTCAGGCTGTCACATCTATTTGCACCTTTAAGCTAAAGATCCTGGCTATTTCACATTTAAACAGAAGCAGAATAAAAAAGAAATAAAAGCCCTTGTTAAAGTATTAGTTATTATTTTGGCTCTTTAAGGAAAGTCTGTACCAAGTTTAAGACCTATCAGTTGAGACAAGAGGAAGACTAGAAAGCAAAGCAGATTAGTAAAGTTGATGGCCATATATTCTAAGATTAGTAAGTACATCCTATCATTATATAATAAAAGGCTAATATGCAAATTGACCGAGTGGTGGAATGACTGGTTGCTGCCCTCTGGTGCTCTTGGACTGTGAGAGGGCGCAGGCTGGGCTGGGTGGAGGAATGCCCTGCCCCCGAGTGCATGAATTTTGTGCAGCAGGCTTCTAGTTTAAAAATAAAAATCATAAAATTGATGAATTCAGAGTTTTCAAAGACTCCAAGAGAATATTTGGCCCAGCTCTCAACTCTCAACTCTCATTTTATGGATGGATCACCTGAGTGTCAGAAAAGTTAAATGCACCAAGGTAACTCAGTTTTTGGTAGCAAATCTTGAAGCAGGAGATTTGCTCTACAGTGCTCTTTCCCTTATGGAAGTACAGATTTAAATCCTTATATGCTCTTTCTCAGAACAAATAGTTTAAATGAAAGTTAAAGTATACTTTATTTAAAAATCTGCTAAATTTTGTCATTAGAGAAAAAAGTGTATTATTAAAAATGAAAATTAGTACAAAAGGGGAAACTAACCATTAGGCATTAGTCTAGAACAAGGGTCAGCAAACTTATTCTTAAAAGGTAAGATTGTAGCCGGGACCGGTTTGGCTCAGTGGATAGAGCGTTGGCCTGCGGACTGAAAAGGTCCCAGGTTCGATTCCGGGCAAGGGCATGTACCTTGGTTGCAGGCACATCCCTAGTAGGGGGTGTGCAAGAGGCAGCTGATCGATGATTCTCTCTCATCGATGTTTCTAGTTCTCTATCCCTCTCTCTTCCTCTGTGTGAAAAATCAATAAAATATATATTTTTTTTATAAAAGGTAAGATTGTAGCCCTAGCCAGTTTGTGTTGTGGTTAGAGCGTTGACCCATGGACTGAAGGGTTCAGGGTTCAGATCCGGTCAAGTGCACATACCTTGTTTGTAGGCTCCATCCCCGGTCCTGGCCAAGGCACTTGTGGGAGGCAAGTGATTGATGTTTTTTTTTCTGTTTCTATATCTTTCCCTCCCTTCCACTCTCTAAAAATCAATGGAAAAATATCCACAGGTGAGGATTTTTATTTAAAACAGTCAGATTGTAAATATTTTTGGTTGGTGAGCCAAATCATTGTCACAGCTACTCAACTATGACAGTATAGTCTAAAAGCGACCATAGAAAATACATAAATATATGAGCTTGGCTGTGTTCCAAAACTTTATTCACAAAGATGTAGTCTGCTGATGCCTGTCCCACAAAAGGCTGTTTAATAAGATGACTTATAACTGAAAAAGTTCTGAGAAGTAAGTTGTGTAATAAAAAATTTCAAGAGTTTTTTATTCAGAGTAAGAACATGAAAGGATCACCCAAAGTGTGGCATTCCTAGAGCTGCATTGCCTAATTAGCTACTGACCACATATGTCATTTAAACTTTAATTAATTAAAAATAAATGTTAAATAAAATTAATTTTACTTTGTAAGTTGTACTAGCCACATTTTTTATTCAATGGGATGTGTAACTAGTGTCTACCATATTGTACAGGACAAAATTGTAGAACATTTCTGTTATTAGGAAGTTCTGTTGGCTAGTTTTGCTTGGAACAGTGGCAAGCAAACTTTTTGTGTAAAGAGCCAGATAGTAAATACTTTAGTCTTATAGAATGCATAAAAATCTCAGCTGTATATTCATTTTTTTCTTTCCTTTTTTGTTGTATCTTTTTCTTTCCTGTCACTTTTTTAAATAACTTCTAAAAATGTAAAAACTATTTCAGCTCACATGGGCTTGTAAAAATAGGCCATAGCCTGTAGTTTGTCAAACCCTGCTCTGTAGGATTGAGAACAACCCAGAAAAATCAGAGAACAGTTTACGATACCCTCCAGCCCTTCTAGAGGAAGACAACGATCTGATGTGGTGCTTAGGGTACTAGGTGGCTTTTTCTTATTAAAAGAATACTGAATTATAAGTCAAGGCGAGTGGGTTGTCCCAGTTATGCCATGTCAATGAACTTGTCTAGACTTGCTTCAAAGAGGACATTAGAAGACAGCTTAATATTATCTATAAGGCCAGTTGCTTCATATCTTTAAAATCTAAACAGATGCAGTGTTGGTTATTTAAAAAAATTCTTGTGAATATAATATGTATTTTGTTTATTTTTAATCACTCCATTCTACTTTTATCTATTCCTCCTCTGTGCTTCTCCCAAATCCTCGGCCCTATCCCCACCCTCATATGCCTTGTCAGATTCCTTTTTTTCTTTCTTTTTTTTTTTTTTTTGTATTCAAGCTTATCTTAATACTGCCCTTATGTGCCATGACCTTTCTATAGTAGCTGGTTTATTTTGAGGTAGGTAATGGTGTCTCTAAAATTAATCAATTTGTATAAAAGGGATTTCTTTTTATTGTTTTTCTTAAAATGAATCTTTAAAATATTTGTAAGAAAAATACTTTTTTGCTTTCAAAGAACAAATTAATTTTTGCCAAATTTTGTTTACTTAATTAAACGCATTATTGTTTTGTGTTATCTTTCAGTTACTTTAATTTATACTCAAAACTTTAAAATTTTCAGAAAAGGTAATAACATTTTAATATTGCAAGCTTATAGAATTTATAACTCTTTGGATTGGTGTTAATGATAGAACAGTAGATAATTTTTACTTAGAATTGTTGCACCAGGTGTTAGGGAAATTTCATTGGAAAGAAGCATGCTTTTCTAGCACCATGCAAAGGGCATTGAAATGGGATGCAGTTTCCAGGGAGGTGTGACCAATTTGTATTCATTTGTGTTTTTCCAAATATATTCTAGGCCAGTGCTGAAGCAATAAAAACCTCGAAACTCAGCTGATTTTTTTGTGGGCATAGGAGTTGGTTATCTTAGTTAAGTTGGTATTAAAAAAGTAGGCTTGAAGAATTGAAGTTTTTGACTGGCAATAAGAATTGGACCTGTTCAAAAGTATTTTAAAATGGCATATCTGAGGGCATTGGATGGAAAAAGAATATGTTTGGAATTCAGTGAATTTAGTTTTGGATTCTAGTTCTTCCTAACCTGTGTGACTTTAAGCAAGGATTTAACCTTCTAAACTTAAGAAAATTGGAATATGTCTTGTAGTATTGCTGTGGGGTTTACATATATGACTGTGTAACATCCAACACTATCCCTGGACATAGAATTATTATTAAAACTATTAAAAAAAAATCCATCTTATGTATGTAGATCATTTCGTATTTGGAATGTACTTTTTACCTAATTATTATTTAATCATCAGGTACAATTGTGAGCACTGGTTATTTTTGCATTGCTTTTAGATTATAAAATTGCCAAAAGTTGTTCATTCTTTTGGCAGGCAGTTGCTGTGAAAAACTCAAGAAGTTAATAAAACTTGAATAGTCCTGTTGAACAGAGATATTTAATTACTATAGCTAAATAATAATTTATTTTTCTAACTACTGATTTATATAAGATGAGATACTTAGGATAAACCGAAAACCCCTACTAGATTCTAGAATCAAACAAATTGGGATTCAAATCTTGGTTCCACCACTTAGAAAAATCTTTGATTTTGGGTAAGTTATAAAATCTCATAGTTTCCTAATCTATAAAATAAGGATGATAATAATAACTATCATGGGGTTATTATGAGGTTTAAGTAATAAATACCCTGTTTATGTGGTATTAATAAAATAGCAGTTACTTTCACACAAAAAATATGAGGCCTCATTTATTACAAAACTACCACCAAAATCCATTAACAACCCAGCCAATTTTTCTTAAAGGTGTAAAGAATTTTTTTCTGTCCCCAAAGATTGTTCACCTTGTTCCTTTTAGTTAATATATTTTTACCCTTCTAAGATTTGCCTGCAGGGCAGTGATTTCTAAATGTACACCTACAAAGTGGTGATGGGTAGTGACACTTTTTCACAAGGCCTTAGTGAAATAAGAGTAGCCAGTTCAATGTAGTGATTATTCCATAAAATTTATCTTAACTCAAAGAGTCTTAGTTCATCTTTTATTCTTTTGTCCCTAAAATTTCCTATTGAAATGGTAATATAAATTTTGTACCTTTGGCCGAAACTGGTTTGGCTCAGTGGATAAAGCATCTGCCTGCAGACTGAAAGGTCCCGGGTTCGATTCCGGTCAAGGGCATGTATCTTGGTTGCGGGCACATCCCCAGTAGGGGGTGTGCAAGAGGCAGCTGATAGATGATTCTCTCTCATCGATATTTCTAATTCTCTATCCCTCTCTCTTCCTCTCTGTAAAAAAATCAATAAAATATATAGTATTTTTTTTAATTGTACCTTTGTTTTAAGTCGCTTTTAAAAATTAAAGGTTGACAATCCTTGACAGTCTCCCAAAAAGTGACCCAGGGACAAAAGGCCATTAAGTTCATAATGGGCATTGAAATAACACAGAACTCTTTACCTTGAAGGTATGTATGTGTATTACCAGCTTTTATAAATTACTTAAAATGCTGTTTTTAAATTAAGCTGGTGCTTCCCTGATAGTGAATCAGCTAGTATAACTTATTAAAAATTTCATTTTTACCTGTTTTTTATGTATATATAGAGGTACTAGTTCTGGGTTACTTTATATACTTTCAAACTTTTTATGCTTTTTGGTAATAATAATGTAATTTCACAGATTGGTCCCCCCTAGGAACCTCAAAAAATGCTCCTCTCTTTACAGAAAGTAATAAAATTGTTTTTGTATTTCTATAAAAGATAAGCTTATCTCTGATATCGTCCAATTCCAGAAAGTGGGAGAAAATAGAAATTTGATATTCTTACTGCCTAGTTATAAATTATTGTTCCATGTATTTTCTAATGATTAGTGACATCATAGCCAAGATAATGTTTCCAGAATGATTTCAAGAACAATATGTATACTTCTTACACTGTAATGATAACCTTGACATATAATTAAGCATGATAGATTTTTGTCTTTCTTGAGTAGATACATTGATTATTTTTCTAAGGAGAAGAGCCGATGTTATGATCCTTTTTTTTTTTTTTTTAAGATATTTTTATTAATTTCAGAGAGAAAGGGAGATGGAGAGAGACAGAGAGAAATACCAGTGATAAGAGAGAATGAATCTTTGATCGCTGCCTCCCGCATGCTCCCTACTAGTGATTGAGCCTGCAACCCGGGCTTGTGCCCTGACCAAAACATTGATGTGAGAGAGATACATCAATTGCTTGCCTTTCTGCATGGGCCAAGCCTGCAACCAACGTATGTGCCCTTGACCGGAATCTAACCCAGGACTTCAGTCGTTGGGCTGACTCTATCCACTGAGCCAAACTGGCTAGGCCCATGGTATAATTCTTAAACAGCTTGTACTTCACAATGCTGTTAATTGGTAAGTCTGTTTAATTTTAGGAATGTTTTCACAAATGTCAGATTTATATATTAAATTACTTTGTATTTTAGTAATATTTGTGCTGTCATTGTGTGACCGATGTCTTTGTGTTAACAGTATTTTAAAGGTTAAGTACTTAGGAAATAAGATCAAATTTGAATATTCTTTAAAAATTTTTGCCATACAGAATATTTATCCTGTGATCTAAAAAATGCTACTTTTAAACTAGTATTATTGTGTACTAGATTGTGTGAGTCACAGTTAATAAGTCATTGTTTCTGGTCTCTACCTTTGAGGACCTTTCTGGACTTCCCACCAAATCTTGTCCTACTTCGAACTTTTAAAAATTTTAGGTATAACATCATATTATATATAATTCTTTATATCTTGGTGCAGTGCACATTAAGAATTCAAAGTGACAGATTGGAAGTTCTTAAGCAGAAAACTGAAAGAGAGCCTATGTTTAGGATTCAAGTTTAACTTCTCCCTAACGATATAGTTGTTAATCTTCTAATATCAGATTTGTGTTTGTTTTTTACATTCTGGGTTATAGAATTTAGAAATGGAAGATAATGCAAGGAGCCATTTATTACAACAAACTAAAAGAATTCCTTCTTTGTGATCTTTGCTAGACCAATCAATCTCCATGTGGATATATACTCAGTGATTTCAAAGCTCCCCAAGTCATGTGATAACCTTTATCATTTTAGATGATTTTAATTCTTTTCAGACCCTAGAAATTCAGAACTTTATCTCACAAAAATACAACCTCACACAATTGAAAACTTTACATTAGTTACCTCGGTGTAGTCTGGTTTCAGAGGCTTAAGCTGGATGTTGACTTAAAGAAAGATTTCTTATTTATGTTCTGGTATTTTAGACCATTTAAGTAAATTATCATGTTTGATTGTATATATTGTCAACCCCACTGTTGGAAGTAATAAGTTGAAGTTAGAGAGTGGTGGGAATTGAAGATGATCTCTTTGAGGGTTTTTTGTATGTTTTTCTGAGGGGGAGAGCATGTTGTCACGAGGGAGACATAAAGATTAGTGGGCTGTAACTTTCAGAATCCTGTCACTGTCATGGAAGGAAGAAAAGGAGGGAGAAAGAGAGGAAGGGGAGAAATATAGAAGATGAATTGGTAGAGGAAAAACGACTCTTGAGAATACTAAGTGCATTCATCTATTTTTAAAGCAACATACTACTTATTTTATTCCCAAATAAACCCTTATACTGTGTATATTTTAGATGTGTTAATTTTTTTAACTATTATCAACATTAAGGTAAAAAATAAGCAAGATTTTTTTTTTTCCTATAATGAAACATATTGGTAGTTCAACGTCAGTTGCTCTTATGTTAGTTTTCTTTGTCAGTAGGATGATTTTGTTATGGGAAATGTAATCACTACAAAAAAAGATGTGGTAGTGTAGTAGGAAACATTCTTCTTGCAGGGTTGGCTTTGTTTTTGTCGTGGGAAATGACTCCTTTTTCCATTCTATTGTTATTACTATTAAAGAGCTATAAGTGTAGATTTATTAAAGAATTGAGCATTTTGTATTTTGTTTTTCTTAGGATTCACTTCTTCTCCAGTTGCACAGCCACAGCCTTCAGCTGGCCTTAATGTTGACTTTGAATCTGTGTTTGGAAATAAATCTACTAACGTTATTGTAGATTCTGGGGGTAAGAAAAAATTATTTTATTAACATTACTATAATGCTCTAATTTAGATTCTGTGTAAGGACAGAAAATTCTCCTTTTAACATGTGTAAATAGATTAAACTACAGTAGCCAAAGAAGTTCCTCCTCCTCCAGCCACTAGATGAGAGATTTACAGGATTATTAATTGTTACTCTTTCTCAGTGTCATTTTTGTTTCTCCTAGAGCTAAATAAGAGATTCAGGAAATGGGAAAGAGATTTTGCTCAGATTATACTGCTGAGATGATAGTGGCTATATATATATTATTCATTATAGTTTTTACCTTTACAGAAAGGAAATTGGCTTTTTTGAAAACAAGGAAAATAACTTGGGATACTTATTGAGATAGTCTGTGTATAAAGAGCTAGAATATATTAAATATCAGAGTTGTGGGTGGAGGGGCATTGTATTGTTTTGAGGATAAGCCTTTACTATAAATCTGTAGAGCCAGGTTTCTACTTAATTGTTTCCATTTAATATCTTGTTAATTGGAAGTTTATAAAGATTAAGAGGTCTTATAAACATTTCTATTATGGGATGGCCTTTGATTTGGGTTAGTAGTTAAATTCAAGCTATTTAAAGAAATATATTGACATGGTCTTAATTTAATAATATACAATTATTAGTCATCCAAAAAGAAAGAAGCAAGTAGATGTAGATTTTATTTTTTCCCATAACACTAATAGGGTTATAATTATATTTGTTGATGCATTTAATATTTTCCTTTTGCTGGGGAAGGGGATTAAAAAAAGAGATTGTTTATATTTTATAAACCACCATCTTTTAATTGAATTTATTGGGGTAACATTGGTTAATAAAATTATATAGGTTTCAGGTATATAATTCTGTAATATATCATGTATATATTTTATTATGTGTTCACTATTCCAAATCAAGTCACTTTCAATCACTATTTATCCCCCCTATGTAGTAGTAAAGCACCATTTCAAAAACATATATATTTTTTTTATTTTAGAGAGAAAAGGAGAGAAAAAGAGAGATTAAAAACATCATTGATGGGAGAGAATCATTGATTTGTTGCCTCCTACACACGCCCTATTGGGGATTGAGCCCTTGTACCCTTGACTGGAATCGAACCCAGGACCCTTGAGTTCACAGGCCAACACTCTATCTATAATACTAAGCCAAACCAGCTAGGGCTAAAGTGCCATTTTTAATGACTTCCTATTTTCAGATTGTCTGGTATTCCTAGATTGAGCTTTTTACTAGTAGTCCTTTAGGGGTTGCTTTATTGGATTATTTTTACTTTTTACCCTTCAATAAAGAACCATAAGGGATTTTATTTTTATTTCTAAACAATGTCTTAGTTTACTAGATCATTTTATAAAGTTGAAGTATACTATAGCAATTTCTCAGATATAATTTAGGTTAGCTGGTTTTAGAAAGACCCAAAATGATTCATTTTGACTAGCTTCTAATGTACTATTTTACATACACCTTATATTCTCCATTTGAAGAGTATAAAAAGGTCTGTAAAATATTATTTCTTAAACCGTTCTCAAAGGTTCCAGAGATGTATTTTTTTTTCATTTTTTTTATTTTCATCTGTATTGCTTTAGATATAAGTGAGTCTTAAGAAAATGTTGGGTAAAGGAAATAATTGTATTTCATTCCTTTCTCTTTTACAACTTTGGAATAAGTTTACTTGAGTGCTTTCTTCATCCCCTTTAACCTTGATGTAGTATTGTCCTGAAATAAGATATTTCTGTCAAAGGAAATATAGCCTTTTCAATCAGTTCATTTAAATGGAATTTCTTCTTTTTCCATTAAAGAGTATATTTAGTATTCATTTTTTTGGAGGACTTTTCTGGTAAACAAACAATGAGAAAAGGCAGAGACCTCCTTTAGAAAGCTGTAGCACCAGAAAGTTCCTTACAAGGCCTATTTCGTCTGTTAACTTTAAGGCTTTGATGAACTAGGTGGACTTCTCAAACCAACAGTGGCCTCGCAGAACCAGAGTCTTCCTGTTTCCAAACTTCCACCTAACAAGCTGGTATCTGATGACTTGGATTCATCCTTAGCCAATCTTGTGGGCAGTAAGTATTCTTTGGATTCTCTAATCTTCTTTAAAATAAGGTGTTTTATTTATTTGTCTTTTAAAAATAGTTTTTAACTGATTTCTTTTTTCCCCTGTCCTAGATCTTGGCATTGGAAATGGAACCACTAAGAAGTGAGTTTCTGTTTGTATTCTTTCCATGTGCCGCTTAGAGGTGTATTTGGCTTTCATCTTGAAAGTGTGGGTAGAGATGTCATTTGCATTTTAAATGCTCTGTTCAATCTAAATAGATTGAAAAGAAACCTTGTGAGAACAGAACTTAATATTCTCATTTATCTTTATTTAAAGTGATGTAAATTGGAGTCAGCCAGGTGAAAAGAAGTTAACTGGAGGATCTAACTGGCAACCAAAAGTTGCACCAACAACGGCTTGGAATGCTGCAACAGTGGTGAGTGAAAAGAGCTTATGATACACTAACACGAATAATTTAGGTAAATGTGTAACATAAGAATGTTTTTAAAGTGATGGACATAAATGGAAAGATTGTTAATATTGCATTTTAGAAGTATAAGTAATTTGTATTTAAGGAGGCTTAGTTGACTATATTTGCAGCTACATTTAAAAAAATTTTTTAAATTTTTTTTATTGATTTCAGAGAGGAAGTAAGGGAGAGGGAGAGAGAGATAGAAACATCAATGATGAGAGAATCATTAATTGGCTGCTTTCTGCATACCCCAAATTGGGGATCGAGCCTGCAACCTGGGCATGTGCCCTGACAGGAATTGAACTGTGGCCTCCTGGTTCATGGGTTGATGCTTAACTATTGAGTCATACTGGCACAGGTACATTTTAATAGCTAACATTTATTTAAAGGTTACTTGTGTCAGACATATTCTAATAAATAATATGTGATTTTATTTTCTGTAATCCTCAAATTACTAAACTTAAATGGTAGCAACTATTATTGTCCCCATTTTACAAATGAGGAAATTGAGACACAAAGTTAAGTACTTAAGTCTAGGATCACAGAATTCTTAAGTGATTAGATGGGATTTTAGAATCCAGATAGCCTAATCCCAAAGCATATGCCTTTAATCACTACCTTCTACCACTGGTTTCAAATTTACTATTCATTTATGTAGAACATAAAGTTTTTCTTTTTTTTCTGATCTCACCATTGGTAAAGAAACTATTTGCTTGGCTTTTACTACTATTATCATATGATGCATACAGTTGCTTCTCTTTATTTGCTGCACTTATGTTCTTGAAGTCACCCAAACAGTGAACCTTTGCTAGGTTCACATACACATACATATTTGCCCAACAATGGTTCAGTGTTTACTAATTCAGTGTTAGGGTGACTTTAAGGACACATATACAGCAAATCAACTGTTGCCAGTAGAGAATCAACTGTGTGTGAGTATAATCATGAGCCCACACATCTTACCTAGATTGCCATAAATCCTAAAGAAGTTTTTACAAAAGATAAAATGAGGTTTAGAAGTATTACTTGACTTGTCTGAGGCAACCCCAATAACAGGTGCCAGAGTTGAAATTCTAGTTCTATTCACTGGCCCCAAAGCCAGTTTCTCACTACTGCATTGTTCCCTTCCTTCTCCATCCTCTCTTCATCTTCCTATTCGAGCTGAAATCTGGCAGAGTCTCGCTTATTCAACTTCAGCTGGGAACGAATGCCCAGGGAGACAAATTGTTCTCCACTCTACACATGTCCATAAATGACCTCAAAAGCATTTACAAGCATTGATTTTCAGATTACAAATAAATTCTAGTGAGTAGGTAAATTTGCAAGTCCAAAATCCATGAGTAATGAAAATTAATTGTATATGTTAATTAATTATTTAGCATTTAGTTATGAAGAAGTTCTGTTACTGTTTTTAATTACTATTAAATTATAGATATTCCAGTTTAGCTTTGGGGGTGTACTTCTATCCTTGGTCAACTGCTTTTTTACTATCCCAATAAGTCTTTCCGGGTCAGAGAAAACCAATTTCTTTTTGTGGAAAATTTTGAAACATGCTTTTTTTTTGTAACAGTGTCCTAATAACAACGTTTTGACAGCACAAGCTACAGATTGAATTAGCCTTCCTATTGTTATTAGAAACTTCTCCTTATCCTTGTTATAGCCACTTGTTATTAAATCTCTTTCAGGACATTGTCCTGTTTTCCTTATGTTAGTCATAAAATAGTATGCTGATAAAATTTTGTGGGGTATTATCTAAAGAATTCTGTTATCTTCAGTCTTCATAAATAGATAATATTGATTTAGTCACCTTTTTAAGACAGTAGTAACTTTTCACTGATAGTTGTCACTACCATCACTAAAAATAAAACCTTATATTTAAATAGTTTAGGTTTTACACACACACACACACACACACGCACTGTCTTGAGTCTATAAAAAGTACAGTCATGGCGTGTTTGAGTAGGTATCATCCCAGTTGTAAGGATGAAGTTATGTGATTTTTTTTTTTCAAGTGCAAAGCAACTAGAAAACAGATTTAAACTGAAATCCATCTCTCTGACTCTGAATCCAGTGTTTTCCCCACTGTAACACACCTTAGTGACTATGGAATGGTAGGAAGTTAGGCTAGTGGATTTTATAGCCTCAGGTGTGAATTATACATTGATAATATATGAGGAATTATGCTGATATGAAGATACAATGGATATTTTATTTTACATTGAATTAGTATTAATCCATATGAAATATTAGGAGTTTATAGATAGCACTTCACCTAAGATTGACTATTGGAATATAATAGACATCTAGCAATCTAGAATTTGTGTGTAAGTTGATAAAAGCAATATTTAAGGTGCTGTGTCATATATGGTGATGTGTATCATCTTTTAAGATTTTGTTAAAATATTTGTGTGTATGTTTTTTGTAGAATTTCTTTTTAATGACTAACATTTAGGGCTGGTGATGTGATTACTACTTAGGTAAACTGATGCTTATTACATTTCTAATCTTTTTATTAATCCTTAAACACTGTCAAGGTTTTATAATTTTTTAAAAAATTAAAACATTATTTGGAATTTTATTAAAATATATAATAATGTTATACTATACATCTTTTAGTTATGCTTTTTTTTCCCCCCTAGATGTTATATGATGCATCCTTGTTGTTATTAGAGACTCTACCTTGTTAGTGGATGCATTGAATTTTGTACTATTGACATTACTGATAGGTTTTATGTTTTAATGACACTTGTAATCAGTAAGCTATTATGTATGCAAGGGGATAATGCCAAAGATTAAGTTTCTCTTGTCAACCTTGATAGTGTTTTAGTATAGATGTCTTCCATTAGATACTGGAAATAAAGGGGATTCTAGGTAGTTAGTGAATGTACATGTGAACTAAAATGCTCTCTGTGTATTTTCTGTTGTGTAAGTACTTGTTCTAATCCAGTGTTATTGCATTATGTAATTGTTCTCCCTGGGAAAAACAGAATGGCATGCATTTTCCACAATACGTAAGTGACCAAAAACTAGCCTTTTTGCAATAAATTGGCATGCTATTAACCACTGCTGTAGCAGAATCTCATAACCTTTCAGCTATTACTTGTTTTCACATTCAGATTTTCAGTGTGCCAAAAATTCTTCCTAGCATCTACTGATTTCATGGGTGTATTGCAGAATTGATTCTGATGATGGCATGGGAAATACAAATTTTTTTTCTTGCTTAATATTCTGCCATTTGCTGCCAGATGGCTGGGTGTCTGTGTGTGTATCTGTGCTGCCACTATGCACTTGTTGACTTCTGAATGAAGGGAAATGTTGTTGATTGTGGTAATGTTAAAAATAACAATTGCATGAAATCTTACAGGCTTCTGCTGTACTTGGCAGTTTGTCTTCTGCTCTTGCAGCTCTTGGTTTTTAAGTAGGGAGAGACCAATAAGTTCTATATCCTCACCCAAATACTAAACTTTTAACTATTCACTTTAGTTATGCTTTATTTACCTATTCTTTGCATATGTTCAAATTGCCGTATATTTCTAGTTGTTTTTTTTTTTTTTTAATGTTTTAGCAGTGTTATTGGTCTTTCACCTGTATTCAGTTTTAGTTATCATTCTAAGATAACACACACAGAGAATGTTGTTAAGACAGCAAATATATCTAAGCTGATTTGTGCTAAGAGTATATATTTACAGAGTATAAGTTAAAGTAGGAGGAAGAGAAGGGGAACTTAAACATTTTAGTGGTGTGTGGTTCTGTGAAGCATTAAAGCATAAACAGATTTAAAATTCTCAACTTTGCTGCTTTGCAGAAGATAAATAATTTATAAAATCAATAAAGAATGATAGTGTACATACTTTGTGTAAGAAGTATAAGAACTATGTGCTTTAAAGAAATAGTTTACTCAGTAGTGGTTTGAACTCTTTGGCATTCCTTGAAAAAAGTGAATGAGGTCCATAGAAATTAATTTTTTAAAAGACCAAATTGTTAATTGATTTGGGACCTTTAGTTGTTGTTTTTTTTTGTTTGTTTTTTTTTGTTTTTTTTTTTGCTTAAAAACTGAAGAGCCTAGGAAAACATTCAGAATTTATTACTTTTTCTGGATAAACATTTTTTATGATAGTAATAGACTTTAAAGTTAAGTATTATGAAGATTTTTTAAAATCTGAAGTTTTTTTAAGCTGAAAAAGCCCATTGAAATCTTAGATCATTGTTTAAGTATCTAAGTTTAAATAGTATTTTTTTTTTCTTTCTAATCATTCTGCTTTCTGCTTATTGCAAGGCAACATTTTTCATTGAGCATTGACAATTTTTATTTATTATAGTTGACAAATTGACAGTTATTAATGATCACATATGTCACATTTAATCACAGCTGTCTTGGCAATTCTTTTAGTGGAACTACAGCTATTCCTTGAACTCAGTTGACATACAGGAGTTATACTTTCTTGTTTATTTTTTCTTTTACTATTTCAGGCACCCCCTGTAATGGCCTATCCTGCTACTACACCCACAGGCATGATAGGATATGGAATTGTAAGTATCCTATGTAATAAAAGTCTAATATGCTAAGTGTCCGGTCTTCTGGTCATCTGTTCAACCAATCAAAGTGTGATATACAAAGGCCGCTCAACCACTCGCTATGACATGTACTGACCACCAGGGATCAGGCAGTTGACTGGTTGACCGATCACAATGATGCGCATTGACCACCAGGGTGCAGACACTCAATGCAGGAGCTTCCCCTTGGTGGTCAGTGAACTCCCACAGGGGGAGTGCTGCTCAGCCAGAAGCTGGGTTCAAGGCTGGTGAGCACATCAGCAGTTGCAGAAGTCTCTCCTGCCTCCAGTCCTAAGCCAGCAGTCGGATATCCCCTGAGGACTCCCAGACTGTGAGAGGGTGCAGGCTGGGCTGAGGGACACCTGTTCTCTCTCCCCACTCAGTGCATGAATTTCATGCATTGGTCCTCCAATGTCTATATATATATTTTATTTCAGAGAGGAAGGGAGAGAGAAACATCAATGATGAGAGAGAATCATTGATCAGCTACTTCTTGCACACCCCACACTAGAGATCGAGCCCTCAAACCAGGCATGTTCCCTGACCAGGAATCTAACTGTAATCTCCTAGTTCATAGGGCAACACTCAACCATTGAGCCATTGTGGCTGGGCTGGAGTAGTGTTTTGTTTAGTTTTGTTTTGGTTTTGGAGTGGTAATTTTTAAAGCAAGAGATGGTCAGTTGAGATTCTATTTTTAGTTAGTCAATAATGAACTAAAGTCTGTGTATTAAGCTTCTTGATTCTTCTTTCTTAAAATGTCTCAAATAAAATTTAAAAAACCACAGAGAGTAACTCTTCAAAGAATCAGCTGTGCATGATGGCATAAGAATTTGATTTGATATACAAAGGCAGTTACTTTGAACTGTCTTTGTCATTTTACAGTTTGAAGTTTCTCTATATCTAAAGCTGGAAAATTTGAAAATCTTTTTCTCTAGGTTATTTTGTCTGGTGTACTGTCATAAGGTTTAAATTTTACAACTCATTGTATAGAAAAACCTAAGCTTTTTTTTTTTTTTTTTTTTTTTTTTTTTAATGTAATGGCTCAACACCATGCTTTATTTCTTTATTTCTTTTTTTCTTTTTTTAATATATTTTATTGATATTTTACAGAGAGGAAGGGAGAGAGATAGAGAGCTAGAAACGTCGCTGAGAAAGAAACATCGACCAGCTGCCTCTTGCACACCCCCTACCGGGGATGTGCCCGCAACCAATGTACATGCCCTTGACCGGAATCGAACCTGGGACCCTTCAGTCCGCAGACCGATGCTCTACCACTGAGCCAAACCTGTCTCGGCGAAAAACCTAAGCTTTTATATAGGCTTTAAAAATGGGCACATTAAAGACTTTCCATACCAAACTAAATCATCTTAAAAATGTTTAGCTGTCAGTCTTATTTGCATTTACAGAAATTTTTCCTTTGAGTTAAAGCAAAAGTAGTAGTTTTCCTTTGAGTTAAAGCAAAAGTTGTAGTTACCTTTCTTGTTTACTTATCCTATATAATAAAGAACTAATATGTTAATTAGACTGGGCAGCTGAATGACCGTGGGTGGAGATGCAGAGCCACAAGGCAGCTGGGCCCATAAGGGCCGAGGCAGCTGGGATTGGGGAGGCCTCATCTTCCAGGAATTTTGTACATTGGGCCTCTAGTTTTATAATAAGAGAGATGTGAGCCGCATTCTTTAACTTGTTATTTTTCTACTTTTCAGCCTCCTCAAATGGGAAGTGTACCTGTAATGGCACAACCAACCTTAATATACAACCAGCCTGTCATGAGACCACCAAATCCCTTTGGCCCTGTATCAGGAGCACAGGTATTAATTAATGTGCTACATGTAACTGTTTTGATGTGCTTGGTGTGGAAGGAACACAGTGCTAAAAATTTTCTTTCATACAACTTGAGAAACAAGTTATTGCTTTATATCTTTCTTATCCAAGAGCTTTTAGGATTATTGATTATTTGGAAGGAAAGGATAAGCATTATAAATATTAAAGATGGAAAATTCTTGATAAGTTACTGTTGATGCACCTAGAGGACAGTTTCTGAGGGTAAGGAACCTACTTTTGTTCACGATTCTGGCATGATCTCCTTCGTGAACCCTGAAAACTTTGACCTCAGAGTTCCACTGCCTTGGCATTTGAAGTGACAGTGCAGTTGGCAATGGACTTGCTATTCTTTATTCACTGGGTGCACATAGTTTTACACTTGCTAGTGTATATAGTGTTACTTTGCCAGAATTAGTTGGTGTTGATCCAGTCTGAATCTAGTTTCATGTATTTCATAGTCTAGTGAAGCATTAGGAGAACCTTTCATTTTCAGCCTTTTTAAATTTTATTGATTTTAGAAAGAGGAAGGGGGAGGGAGAGAGAAACATTGATGAACTCTCTCCTGCACTAACCCCCATTGGGGATCCAGCCCACAAACTGGGCATATGCCCTGACTAGGAATTGAACCTCAACAACCAAGCCTCATCGGCCAGGCACTTTTTTCAGACTTTTTGAGTATTGAACTCATTTTAATAAATTGGCATCTCAAGGAATACCAGTAACGGAGTAGATTTTTGAATTTTGTTCTTATTAAGAGATAAAATCCATATGTTTGCCCAGATACCTCTTCTTTTATGTTACAGTGACCTTTTCTTCCTGTTCCTTAATCAGTTAAGTACTTTACACCTGGAAGTCAGGGTTATTGATGCAGTAATTACTTTTTTATAACTCAGTTAATTTTTATGCATGTTTAAAAAGTCATCTGAATTTACCTTTAAAGATCATTGTGGGGGGTTTTTTATTCATTTTAATCCTCACCTGAAGATATTTTTTTCAACAGAAATATTGGTGTGAGAGAAACACATTATTCGTTACCTCCTACACAAACTCTGACCAGGGCCTGGGCTGGGGAGGAGCCTACACATTACTAGAATCAAACCCAGTCCGCAGGCCGACACTCTAGCCACTGAGCCAAACCAGTTAGGGTTTTATGCATCTTTTAAATAAAATGGGTTATGGGTTTGTATAGATTTTTTTTTCTATTCTGTTTTTTTTAGCAATACTTTTTGTTGTTGTTAATCATCGCCTGAGGCTATTTTTTTTCCATTGATTTTTTTTTAGAGTAGAAGAGAGTTGAGGGGGGAAGAGAGAGAGGCAGGGGGGAGAAACATTGATGTGAGTGGGGCCGGGATTGCATCTGCAACCCAGTTACTTGCCCAGAAATCGAATCAGCAATCCTTCAGAATGGGAACCAATGCTGTATGCACTGCATACACTGACTAGGGCTTACCAGCAGTATTTTTAATGCTGGCATAATTTGCTAAAGAAACAAACTAGATTTTGATAATCTTTTAAGATGTTGATGATTTTCCTAAGTACTTATGTAGGTGTTTTCTTGAGATTATGTTTTTCTCATGTTCTTTATTTTTTTTGTTCTTTTATCTTCAGGTGTATATCATTTATTTTAAAGAGTTAATTTGTTTTTTGGTGTGTTTATTTTTTTGTGTGTATGTGTATTGTTGGGGTTTTTTTTGTGTTTCAGTGAGTTAATGTGGATCTTATCATTGTCAGAGACTAAGTGATAAGAACTTAAATATATTTAAGGGGGAAAAAAACACACTGTATTCAAGCTATAAATTTACCAGAAATTACTGGCTACAGAAGTTTTTTTTTTGGTTGTGTGGCTTAACTCTGCATTCAGTCTGAGTGTTGTCTTGCAAGCTCCTGTCTCAGAAATGGAATAATTACCTTATTCTAAAAAATCTTTAAGATAGACCTAGTATCCACATCTTGTTTTATAGATATAAAAAGCTGAAACTTGAAAAGATTCTTTAACTGAATGACTAGTGAAATTCAACTTATCCCCAGGAATCCCTGATCCTTGTCCATTACTCATTGGTGCTACACTGCCTTATCAATATAGTACTGAGTTTATTGCTAGATATGGCCCCTTCCGAGCACTGTCTTCCTTTTGTCAGAACCACTCTGCAGATTCCTTGGGTTTCCTTCTGGATTATAAACTGCAGTAAGACTGTAACTACTGTAATTGTCAAGAACATTCTCTGCCCTAACCTGTTTGGCTCAGTGGATAGAGCATTGGCCTGTGGTCTGAAAGGTCCCAGGTTCGATTCCAGTCTGAGGGCCTGTACCTTGGTTATGGGCATATTCCCATTAAGAGAGGTGTGCAGGAGGCAGCTAATCAATGTTTCTCTCTCATCGATGTTCCTAACTCTCTATTCCTTTCTGTAAAAAAAAATCAGTTGAATATGTTTTTTTAAAAAAGAACATTCTCTTCAATTTTGGATAATACCATAAATCTTGAAACATTTACATTAGTTTTGCTAATTTTCTTTTTAATATAATTTTAAAAAGAAATCGCCATAAAACTCTACCTTTAAAAAAATAGCTGACCCTCTAGCATCTGCCTTACCCCAAGTTTTTATATCATTTTGCCTCTAAAATCCACAAACTTACTGAAACACCAAAAGAAGTGCAAGAATTTTCATGTACATGAAAAGAAACCATGACAGAAATGCCTTTCCTAATTACTTTGTGCCAGAGTAGAACAGAATGAGAACATTAGTCATTTTTTAGTTGAGAAGTCAAATTTGAAGTGAGTACTTAATGCTAAATATTATTGATTGAAAGAGCACATGAAGGAATCAAATTGATAATTAGAAAAAGAGAAATCTGGTACCAGTGAAGTGGTTCAAAAAGGCTTTGTTCTCCTCACAGTAGTCATTTGAATCAGTGAAAGTTAGAATCTTGAACCTTTTCATGTTACTTTGGATTCCTTTACTCCCTTTGTTCTTCATGTATTTTATTAGATAGTTCCACTAATGGTTTCTCTGCTATCATTAGATCACCCTTCTTCTGGTCTCCAGTTTTCATCTGGATTTGAACCTCTCGCTCCTGTGTTTATTTTCCAAGTCTCCCTGTGTTCCTTGCCTTTCTAATTTAATCAATTACCTAGATACTTGAATAACCTTATAGGTATTTGTAGTATCTTCTACATTCAAAAATCTAAGGAAGTGAATCTAAATATAACTGAACATATGAGACTTCCCCTCAGTTTTCCTTACATTTTAAAACTACTTCACAAAGTCTCTTGTGAGAATAATAATGAGTAAACAGAATATTCAGGGTCTTCAGTCCCCATGCCTTTACAATTCTTGGTAAGTATCCTGTGTTCTGCTGCTACTTGTCTTTTCCAAAAGTCCTTCATCTGTCATAAAAATAGATTTACTCTTTACTCATTCTCTGCTCATCTCTTGTTTATTTCTAGACTTTCTGAGGTCTGGAGTTCTTTTCCTTATTTTGCATTATTTTTCTTTATAGAACTTATCACTGCCTGATATCTGTCTGTCTATCTGCACATCCATCCATCCATCCATCCAATTTATCAAGAGACCCTGATACTAGATTGTAAGCCTTTTAGAGGCAGGCTTCTAGGTGTCTTGTTCTGTGTCCCTGGTTCCTAGAACAGTACCCAGGTTTTGAATATTATTTGTCAAACAAGTAGATCTGATTGAAAAACAACCTTTCCATCATATAACTTACTATTTTCATTCACTTATAACCATTGAAAATATAGCAGTGTTCAAAATTGCTTTAACTTATTTTGCTAATAGCTTCTATAAGCTAAAATGTTACATGACTATCACCTGAGGAATAAAGATACCTTTAATTTCATGATTAAATATTTTTAATAATTTTAAAATTAAACTGTCTTTAGAGTAGGTGAGGTTTTTTCATACATAAGTTATTAATGATTTTTAGCCAGTTCCTTGGATTAATTTTGTCCATTCAGTGCTAGCTAGAATCAACATAATTTTTTCTTAATGAATTACTTTTTAGTTTTTCTCATTTTGCTCCATTTTTGCAATTAGATTCAAAATTCTTTGAGGGCAGAGGACATCTCTTTGTACATTATAAAATAAATGGTAGTTTGCATATAAAATGAAATCCCAACAAAGTAATATTTTTTTAATCAAGTCCCACTTCTATAGCTATTGCCAAAAATCTTTCCCTGTTTCTTAAAATGTTTTAGAAGCCATTCCTTGCCTAGGGAATAACTTACAGCTCCTGTTTTCTTGCTTACTTACTCTTCAAATCAAATTAATATTTTTGAGAGTACTTTGGCCCTCCTAGGTATATTTATCTTCTTGCTATTTATTTAGTAAACATTCCAAACATTGTATTTTGTGATCTACATTATTATCTAAGTTACTCTTAAGTGCTGTGTTAATGCTTGCTAGTGAGAAAGTTCTGAGCTTTAGGAAATTGTCTTTATTATAACTTTAATTTAATAGACAACACTGTATTATTGAAATTATGCCTTTCTGTACACTCAGCCCTTTCTGTCCCCATTTTTTATGCTGGCTTATTCTTTATTTTTTCATATATTTTATTGTAACAGCTAGTTGCTTAAAGAAAGGTCTTAATATTTAAGTTCTTCTATTTCATGCCTAACATTGTTCTTTTTAAAAAGAAAAAGTACATTAGTGAATCTTCCTAGGTGTTTGACTACATGGAAAATACTAGATCTCTGTAGTTAAAGCTTTTCCCCACTCTTTTCTTTCTCACAGTTTTGCTCACTTTTTGATTGGCAGTTGCAGGTTACTAGTAGGTCTGTTTATTAACTTGGAGAGAATGGGGATTCTTACACCTTCTCTTCCTGGTGCTTAGTTTTAGTTTCTTTTGAAAGTCTCTATGATGTGAAGTAACATGTTTAAGAGGAAAGCTTATAAGGCAGTATAGATGTTGAAGATCCTTGCAGGGGAGGGTTGTTGTGCTGGTTATATTCTTATCCCTTACTTATATGAGGAATCACAGTGATTCCTCATCAGTCTGTTTTCCAAAAGCAGTGTTAGATTTGGTCATTTAATTTTTAAAATCAGCACATTAAAAGTTTTATATGTTTCTTGATTAGTATTGGGTGTTTTTTAATGGGAGATTGCCAGTTTTGTTTATGGAAGATAAGGCTAAAGATATAAAATGGTGGTTGTGTTTTTGTTTGTACTAGCCAATTTTAAGTAAGTCTGTCATCAGTTAAGTGTCTAAAAGGAAACAGTGGTTTGTTGTACTTACTTGTTACCCTTCTAAATAGGGGTACTGTTATTGGCTTTAGATATTGGAATAATTTGAGTCCTACAAAAAATGACCATTCTAATGACTTTCTTGTGTGAAGAACTAATGGCTGTCTTTGCTTTCAGGCTAGTTTTGTGAGGTTCTCCCCCACTTTCGTGGTGTGTTAATTGTGGGTGTTGGCAGTGCCTCTCATGTCAGCTGATCTGCCCAGCGTATTTCTGTGAAGGTCTTTTGCTCTGTTAGCAGTGAGATGTGCTCATTCTGCCTTACTTAGTAGAAGATAACATGAGGGAATTTACTTTAAGATTGGAACTTAGTGTCATAGCTGAGAATGGGCCCGGAGTCCCCAGCGTACACCACAGTTAATCAAAGCTAAAATTTGAGGAGTCCCAGTTAGTGATCACTGTAGTTAATAAGACAACCTATTAGAATAAGACCATTTTAATGGTGGTTTTGCTGAGGATGTTTTTTCTAAAAGCTAAAAAACCAAAATGTATTTGTAAAATCATGGGTGACTGTGAAGTTATACAAAATCTTCATGATGAACATGATGACCATGTAGAGCATTTTGTGTTTAGAAAGCAAAGGGCTATACTGACTGTGTAACGTTTAGTAGAGAAGTCTCTTTTTAGAAGTTTTCCAGTATATTAAATACAGCCATAAATTCTGGCTGAGTTGCAGATTTTTGAGAGGAAACAAAGCACCAACCTTGGAATCAGCAGATCTGCATTTGTGTGTTATTAGTGTCCTAGGGATGCTGTAACAAAGTGTACCACACACTCGATGGCCTAAAACAATAGAAATTTATTCTTTCTAGTTCTGTGAGGTTAGAAGTTCAAAAACAAGGGCCATACTTTCGAAGGAGGATCCTTTCTTTTCTCTTCCAGCTTTCGGTAGCCCCAGTAATTCCTTGGTTTATAGCTGAAACACTTCAAACCTCTGCCTCTGTCAGTTAGACTAGGTGACCTCTAAGATCACTTTCCCCTCCCAGAGTGTACACATCAGCTCCACCCTGTCTAGGGTCAGGCAGGAGCCAACTCTGCAAATAGTGTGAACACTGAAGATAGGACTTTGCATGTCCTGTGAAGAATGAAGGAAAGACTATGCAGCTCGATATGTTGGGTCTGGACTAGGTCAGAGTTTGCACAGCTTTTAACAGACAGACTGGACACAGGAAGCCATCTTCCCTCATAAACAACAGCAGCACAATAATGAACTTCCACTCTTCGATGCACATCCTATATAATAAAAGGGTGATAAGCAAATCGAGCTAATGGCGGAAGGACCGGTTATGACACGCACTGACCATCAAGGGACAGACGTTCAATGCAGGAGCTTCCCCCTGGTGGTCAGTGTACTCCCACAGGGGGAGTGCCTCTCACTCAGCCAGAAGCCAGGCTCAGGAACCTCTCCCATCTCTGAGGCAGCACTAAGGACCCCTCGGGGGATGTTCAACTGCCAGTGGGGAACAGGCCTAAGATGGCAGTCAAACATCCCCCAAGGAGTCCTGGGCTGTGAGAGGACATAAGCCAGGCTGAGGGATCACTCCCCAGTACATGAATATTATGCACCGGGCCTCTAGTGTAGCATAAAAATCTTAACCGAGGGTCAGCTTGTATCGACCTTTTTTGATAAAGACTTTCTTCCTTTGGAATTTCAGAAACAAAATTTGTTTTCTGAAAGACACATGCCATTGGATGCCCTTTAGCTTGACATGTGACTGAAATTTTTGTTTGAATTTCATTTTCCACAAAGGCTGCCTTTATATTTAAAGTTGACAAAACAAAAACCACTTCTTTCATTACATTTTCTGCTTTCATGTTCTGTCATTCTGAGCTCTTTTTTTCTTTCCCTCTCTCTGTCTTCTTCCCCCCAGCTGTCGGCAGCATCCAGTCCCTCCAGTCACAGTCCTCACAGAGCTTCAGGAAAGGACCCTTTTGCAGAGTTCTCTTTGGAGGATTTCTTATAAGTCACTTTAGGTATTGCTACTTGTTGGGGGAGATGGGGACTTAAGTACTTAAAAAATTTATCAAACATGAAGCACCATTCACTCTTCTTAATTATTTAAAGGACTCTAGGTTCCCTCTCTTCTTCCTCTTCCTATATTTTTTAGGTAAAGAGTAAAAATAGATCAAGATAGGACAGAAGGGACAAATAACTTTTGGAAAATATCTTGAATATGATTAGGAGGTATGAAATCAAAAGACCATTTCTCATGTTTATATGTAAGCATCCACTTCTCACATCAGGTGATGAGAACAAATACCACCCTTTAAAAAAAGAAAAATAGAGAACAACACCGTTTTTACACATCGGCTCAGAGCTTGATTGGGAGCATTGTTGGTTTAACATTATGGCCAGGATTAGTGTGAATTTTTCATTTTAACTGTTTCTTTAAAGGGCTATATTTTTATGTATTCCTTTTCATCTAAAAATAGTAACACCCCCTCCCAAAAAAAAAAAAAAAAACCACACACAAAACAACAACTTATATTAGTACTAGAGGAACAATGCACGAAATTCGTAGAAGGGACTCAGAAGATTGTTTCGCTCTCTGGTCTAATTAGCATATTAGCTCTTTATTATGTAGATTATTCACTTTTGTTAAGGGCAAGTGAATGCTTGGGGCCTTTTTGATAGAAGACTTGTGCATTTGATCCATACTGCCTTTTTTTGTTGGAAGACTGTGTAATTTGTTCTTGCTGCTGTAGCCCACAGTGCAGATATACCTTCTAGATCTTGAGTTTGTACTCTTCTGATCTGACAATAGTTTGTTCATTCTTCTACTTCTCTGGATGAACAGCTTAATGGATATCATGAGTGAACAATGACACCCAGTTGAAAAGTATTTCCTTGTAGATCTTTTGGATTTTTATTTATATTGTAAAGAAATGATTTAGTAAGCATAATATTACTATTCCCTTAACTATTTCTAATTTTATGATATTATTTGGAAATAATCTTTCAAATTTTGCTTTTCTAAAAAATATTTTAGATGGAATATTTGTGTTCATGGAAAGATTTTCTGAACTTATGAAAAAATTGTTCATTTGCCTTCTACACCTTGGTTTTTAATAATTAGAAAGATATTTATAATTATGCTTCAAATATTGAGTTCTGCCACAGGATAAACTGATAATACTTTGTTTTATAATAAAGGTTTGTAATAAGCATGCTATGAACACTTCTGAGCCAATTGAATGGTAAAAGCCACAAAGCAGTTTTATTTGTGAGAAGACATCCTATAGTGCAATGAATTAATAACTTACACGCTTTTTTTTTTTTTTTTCCAGATACAGTTTATGTAACTAGATGGAAGAGAATGGAACTATTTCAAAAAGACAAGTGCTCAAGCAGCAAATATTTACTTGCAGCAAAATCCAAACTGCTGTCTCTTAAACTCTCTTCTTCCATTAGAATGCTACAGTAACACAGTGGAGGCCCATGAAGGAAATTGGGACTAGTCTATAGGAGAATGTATTAATACAGTTTATAAAGCCAAGAATTGCCATGATTTCAGACTAAGATCTGTCTTTCTGGTGACTAACCCTTCAGTTCTTTCAACTTCTATTAATACCCATAATCAGTAACCTACCAAGAAAAGCCCTTATTTGGAAAGTACAAAATTTGTATTTGGAAAAGCTGCCAGAGGGAAGAGCTGTGTCCTTTACTGTAATGCAACAGGACTCTGGGGAGATCAAAATCATAACTCTCAATTATGCAGTATCTTTCTTTTCTCCAATCCTGACAAAAACAGTAATTAAAATTAATTTTTCTTTTTTAAAAAATTATATATTCAGTTTGCAGTAGACATTCCTTAAGTATTGTATTTATTTATGATTATCGATTTACGTAACATTAATATTGTATCAAAATTCCTTATGAAAATGAGTATGGATGTACACAGTATGTTTGATTTTTATCCACAAGAATGAATCTGATTCAGAATGCTTTTCAGCTGACATACAGAGCACTAAATATTTTAAAGCAAGTCCATAGGTCTGAATCGCTTAAGAATTTTCAGTCTCTATGGGATTTAGGAAAGCATTATAAATGCATTAATTCTTATAGTCAACTCTGTGCCTAGGATTTTGCAAGGGAACAGTTCACTGACTAGGAAAAGCACTACATTAAATTCAGCATTAGTGCATTGGGAAGGATCTTTACTGCTTTGTGCTTGGCATGTCATTATTTTCCATTTGACATTAGGACCTTTCCAAAATGAATGTGAGGAATTGCTTTCACTTCAAGACTTTCCTTCTTTTCAGTAAAACTCTAGGAGGTGTTATAGGGGGAGGGAAGGGAACAAAATCCTTGAACCTTTTATTTTGGCTCATGCCATGTTATGATCATGTACCTTTTAAACAAGGGGAAATAATATCTTTAAAGTTGATGTCTAGCCAAGAGTTTAGTTAACAAATAAACTGCACTGTTGATCGGTGCTTTGTGTAAATACATCTTAACATTTGGGTTGAGAGGGGCCTTAAGAAGGAAAGTTTGTTGTAGGAAAGCAATTCTGTACATGAGTTTAAGCATACTTGTTGCATTGTCTTTGCAGATTCTATTTTTGTTTACAATATTAAAATGTATGTTAGCAAAAATGGGTGGATTTTCAAATAAAATGCAGCTTCCACAAAAATTTAATGTTATTCTGGTCTGAGGTACATTTTCATTTTTTTTCTTTATCATCAGTATCATCATTTTTTTTTGCTAATAAAAGTATATGCAGTTGATTATATTTGCTGATTTAATAGAATGTAATACAGTTTATTCCTGTTTTAACTTAATTTTCAAAAAGACTTATCTTAGTACTTCTGGTTACCTTCTAGGCTTATTGATAAACTGAACTACTTAAAAATTTTCATTTTTGCCTTTTGAACAGATGTCTTTGGTCAGGTAAGTTCAAGGGAGAGAATGGTTTGAGCATTGATATATTGATGCATGTGGTTATGTCTGCCAAATAAACCTCTGGCTGTATCATGTGTCATATTGAACAGTAAGTAGGATTCAGAATACATAATAGAGGAGTAAAAGCTTTGTGCATTGATAAATGTTTGCATTATATTTGCCATGGTTGGAAAAAATAGCCTTTAATCAATATACTTTGTTAATTTGACCAGTTTTTAAGTTTCATAATTATTAAACCATTTTCATATTAATTGGGAAATTGCTCTTTTGTAAGTTAACTTCCTTAACATCACAGATTTTTCTTTATTTCTTCTGGTATTTGAGTAGGTGTTACATTTGAGGTCTGTGGCTTGTTCCTTTTATGTTTCCTTATATTTGCTAGTATGTTTCAGTTTGTGAAGATGCTTTGTAAATGTTTCCATCTTATTTTTAGTTCACACAACTTTTGTATTATCCATACTTTACCCATATCACAGATTAAAATCAGGAACTAAAAAAGAAACTTGTTCAGATCGATGAGCTCACAGGCCGACGAGTCAAGTCTGGTTTCCTGGTTCATTGTTTTGCCTGTGATCTCCTGTTGTTAATTCAAATGTGTAAACTGAAAAGGGAATTTCTTTCTGTGGTCTAGACTGATGACCACTCTTTATTTCCAGATGATCTTCTCCTATGGATCACATTTCCTGCCTCCTTTCTGACGCATTACTGACAAAGAAAGATACGAAAGATATAAAACATATGCTTATATTAACTTTAATTAAAATATAACAGGTGAAATCAATGAAAGAGAAATACCACATGACCTCACTCATTGGTGGACGATAAAGATCATTATAAACTGATGAACCAAGAGACAGATATAAAGTAAAGCAACAGGCAGACTGTCAAATTACAGTGGGGAGGGGGAGGGAGGAAGATCTGGGGGAGATAATAGATCAACCGAAGGACTTGTATACATGCATATAAGTACAACCAATGGACATAAAACTCTGGGGAGGGAGGGGATGTGTGGGAGGAAGGGAGGGAGGTAAAAACAAAAAAATCAATAAAATATGTAAAAAAAAATTTTTTTTAAAAATAAAATATAACAGGTGAGGTAAATTAGCTGTTAAATGCTAATTAAACCAGGTTATAAATCTATACCTGTCCACATCATTTTATGATCCAACTAGCAAAGCTGGTAGTGGCTACAGAGAAAGATAAGATTATTAGCAGAAGGCAGCTGTACTCATTCCCAATCATTTTCAAAATTGTTTGATGTATCACAGAGTATTATGAGGCGCCACAGCACTCAGCTTGATAACTCACTCTTACCTTCCAGAAAGATGGCACCACCGCTTCCGTCAGTGGTCTCCGCCACTATCCTAGGACTTCCTTCAGCCACACTTGCTCCTTCTGTGGGTCTGACCAGCTCTGTTGGATTCTGTCTGAATAGGTTCTGAATGGAAAGGCTGCAATGTCATCTTCATGCAGTCTCAGAAAACTGCAAATAATTTCTTGCCCTTATGAAGAAGTAGTGTTCTATTTGGTGTGTCACAATCAGAAGTATTTTCTAAGTTGCTAGCTGGTATTTCTAGTCTAATTTTGGTATAAGCACTCAGTAAATGTTCCATTGTTATTGATGTAGCACACAAATGTGGTTTTTATGCTGAATGAAACTACCCACATTGTCAAAAATTGTGTAAAGCTCTATAGTATTTCTTTTGGGGCAGCTATGACTATCTTGAAGCAGAGAGCTAGAAATAGAGAAAAGCAAGGAGAAAGTTAAATAGAAACTTCATTCCTAATATCTTATTCAAATATCATTTTACCTGTGACAAAAGTAATTTCAAAGTTGGTTTTGAGATAAAAATTGCTATTGGAGAATCTTCTAGGGAGCTAAAGCCCGCCCTGCCTGAGCCTTCTACAGCCAGACACCCCTCCTTCTCTCGAGTCTGGGCATTTGGCAGCTATCCCGTATGATCAATAAGCATGTGTTGCCTTAACTTGCTCTTGGGCTGGGACTGGAGGGCAGAAAGTATCAGGAGAAGGGAGCAGCCCCCACTCCCTTTTGTGCTCCTGGACTCCAGGCTTCCTCACTCCTGTGCAGAATTTACCATTGATTTCCTTGGCCTTTCAAGAACACTATGTGGAAGCATGAAGCACACTACCCTGGCTCTGCCAGCTAGCCTGGTGGCTGTTCTAAAAGACAAAACGAAATCTCTTTTATGATCATTTTTGTCATAAAGTAGGTTCCTGACACAGAGCTCCTAAAACTTCTAATTACCTAAGTGTTCAGAGCACCAGAAGCATCTTTTGTTCTGATCCTTGTATTTGACTTTTTGATATAGCACTCCTGAACCCTGGGAATCTCCTGGGTGATAATAGTGAGGTGACTTGTCAGGCTCCTGAATAGCTTTAGAATGGGGGCTGGTCACCAAAAAATCCCAACCATGATTAAAAGCTTGGAATTTTAAGTCTCAACCCCATCCTTCAGAAAGGGGAGGGACTGGAGACTGAGTTAATGATTGATTGTGCCTACACGGTGAGACTGTCATAAAAATACCAATATTGCCAGGTTGGTGTGGCGCAGTGGTTGAGCATCAACCCATTAACCAAGAGGTCACTGGTTGGATTCAGGCCACATGCCTGGGCTGTGGGATCGGTCCCTAGGCATGCAGGAGACAGCTGATCAATGATGTTTCTCATCGATGTTTCTACCCTCTATCCCTTCCTCTCTAAAAAAGCAATAAAAACATTAAAAACAAACGAACAATTCAAGGGGTTTGAGAGCTTCCGGGTTGGTGAACATCTACATGTGAGGAGAGTGGTGTACCCTAACTCACAGGGACAGAAACTCCTACACTTGGGATTCTTCCAACCTGTACCCATGTTCTCTCTTCATATGGCTGTTCATCGGTATCCCTTATAGCCTTTATTATACAATAAACTGGTAAGTGTTAAGTCGTTCTCTGAATTCTCTGAGGCATTCTAGCAAACAATTGGATCCAAGAAGGGGGTTATAGGAACCCTGCATAGCTGGTCAATCAGAAGTACAGGTGACAACCTGGACTTAGAATGGGCATCTAGAGAGGGGTGGGGAAGCATCTGTGGGACTGAGCCCTGAACATAGGGAGTGGCATCTGAGCTAACTCTAGTTGGTGTAAGAATACTTGATAGAACAACAGCTACTATTCTGTGATTGATGTGGAGAACCCATACTCCTGGTATCAGAAGTATTAAAAAGGTGGACCATTTAATAATTACTGTTTTAGTAACATCCATTTGGAGAAGGGGCATTCTCTTCAACATATACCAATATAAATTGAATTCTCTCCAACATATACCAATATAAATTCCAAATTAAAGAGATACAAGTAGGGAATTAGGAGAAAAATATAGGTGATTATCTCGGTCAAAT